CTAAAGAAGAGAAAGAAGTCAAGAAACCATCTAAAGAAGAGAAAGAAGTCACAAAGCCACCTAAAGAAGAGAAAGAAGTCAAGAAACCACCTACAGAAAAGAAAGAAGCCAAGAAACCATCTCAAGAAGATAAAGAAGTTAAGAAACCATCTAAAGGAGAGAAAGAAGTCAAGAAAACATTTGAAGAAGAGAAAGAGGTCAAGAAACCTCTGAAAGAACAGAAAGAAGAGGTAAAACCTCCTAAAGAAGAAAAGAAACACCCTGAAGAAGTGAAAGAAGTGAAGAAACATCTCAATGAAAAGAAAGAGACAAAACCTTCCAAAGAAGACAAAGTAGAAATGAAACCATCTAAGGAAGAGAAAAAACTGAAAAAACCTCAAGAAGAGATAGTAGACAAAACGATGAAGCCAAAAGAACTGAAGGATGTAAAAGATGAAAAGAAAGAAGTGAAGAAACCTTTGAAGGAGAGGGAAGAGAGGAAGCCATCAAAGGAGGAAAAAGAAATCAAGAAACCTACAAAAGAAAAAGAGAAAAAAGAGGTTAAGAAGCCATGTGAAGATAAGAAAGAAGTAAAACCTCCAGAAAAAGGAATGGAAGACAAGATGCCGTCTAAGGAAGGTAAAGAAGAGAAAATGCCTTCAGTGGAGGAAAAAGAAGTTACTAAGCCTATAAAGAAGGAAAAAGACCCGAAGAAGCCTTCCGTGGAGGAAAAACCTGAGGAAAAGCAAGCAAAACCTTCCAAAGAAAAATCAGTACCAAACAAGTTCTCCAGAGGAAAACAAGAACAAGAGAAACCTTCTAAAGATGAAAAAGAATCAACAAAACTCTCTAGAAATGAAGAAAAAGAACCAAAACATCTCTCTGACGAACAAGATCAAAAGAAACCTTCAAAAGACAAGGAAGAGGTCAAGATGATTCCCAAAGAGGACAAGGAACCAAAGAAGATATCTATAGAAAACATAGAACAAACAAAGCACTCTAAAGAGGAGAAGGAAATCAAAAAGACTCATAAAAACAAAGCACCTGTCAAGATTCAAGATACTAAGAAAGGTAGGCATAGGCAAGGAATGCAGTGCTTTTTAGCAATTAAACAATATGATCCACAACAACAGCAAAAATCTACAGTCATGCTAGCAGCTCTGTGAGGCTGTACTACACAATGGTGCAATTGATAGTGCAATTGATTGAAATGCTCACATCATGATGCTAACATGCTCACTCTGACAATGCTTGCATGTTGATGTTGAGCATGTATGATGTTCACAAGATCGTATCTATGTTCCCAGGGCCCAATGTTCCCCACCTCAATATCATGTTTATATGACACATTAAGGAGACTTTCAAAAGGGTTTATGTTCTCAGCATTGTTTTGTTCCCCTGGATCAAATGTTCAATATGTGTTTTCCTGGGTCAATGTGTTGAAATCACCCTCCAACAGCTAATAGCCTACTGATCTTGTACTCCTTGAAATACGTATATACCCTCAGACTGTAGCATTTCAATTGCACTTGAAAGTCCATCTCCATTTGAACGGCAAAGATAGCCTTTGCCCAATTCTTACAATGTTAGTTTATATCAAGAACACCGGGCCCTGGGAACCTAGGGATTACCGCATGTTCACCATCTTAGTTTAGTGTGTTAACATGCTAACTTTTGCTAAGTAGAACTAAACACCAAGTACAAATGAGGCTGTTGGCAATTGAATTAGCATTACAGGAATTTGTGGAGAGTCAAAAGATAGCCTGACTAGAGCCTAAAGAAGTGTAAATAGATTGATGTTTCTTTTGTTCAATGAAGGGTATACTCCCTTCCTCTGTATAATTTACGTGAAACTGTTCAATCAGCTTTGCCTTTGTATTTCAGACGATGGACCTAAAAAGGCTGCAAGGAGGATTAAAGCAGTCATGAAGGAGGTTGCATCTGTTCTGAAGAAGGAACATCTCAATGTCACAAAAGCAGGTGAGACACTATGTAAAAGATCTGGTCACAGTGATATTTTATATTAATGGTTAGTATTTGATGAATTTTTCAGTGACACATTAACCCACTTCGTTAAATGGAACGAAATGAGAGAAAGTCCTCACCTGACATTGTTGGTCACTTTCTGCTGTTCATTTCAGCTGATGAACCCAAGAGGGCAGTAAATCTGCTGAAAGCTGCAGTAAAGCAGACAGTTCCTGTCCTGAAAAAGGAGCACATGAATGTTACAAAGACAGGTAAGTAACATTCCAGATTTAGTGTAACCATAAGTGAACCTAAAGCTGCAGTGTGACTTTGTGAGTATTGCAAACAAGAGGCAAACTTTAAAATATCAAGTGAAAGATTACATTTCACAATGTTTTAACAGTGTTGTACATACTTAAGAAGAAGTATTGCATAAAGTGCTACCATTACATGTTTAATGTGAAGCTAAGATGAGCTTATGAAATATATTTTTGAACATTCCCCAATAATAGAGGTTCCTGAAGCTCCTAAGGTGAAAGCCAAACCAGAACCTGCAAAGAAAGGTAAGAACAGGCTTATATTCTTTTGTGTCAATTATTAATTTATTTGTTATTTAGCTGTGCAGATGCTCCAATATCTTACCAATTTTTATTAGACTTTTCAAGGATGAAAATACACTAAAATATTATGCTTTTCATGTTTGCTAACATAAAACATAAAACGTTTTATGTGTTCCACACATATGAAGTTATACAATCCAATAAAGTGTCATATAATAGATACTGATCTTTATAAAAACCTAAATCTTTAAGGCTTTTTGATGTCATATTTTCCACCAGTGGATGTTCCCAAGGAGCCCAAGAAGGAACCAAAGGAAAAACTCAAACCTACACCTGTAATAACAGGTAATGCAAAGCATCCATAGAGCCACACCGCTAGCATGGCTCAAAATACTGCTGTGACACATGAACAGTTTTCATGACAATACAATATCTGGAAACTTAAGGTGTACTTTAAAAGTACTTACTCATATAGAGTCCCTAAGAGAGGCTTGACTGGAGCCTAAATAAGGCTAAATTGATTAATACGTTTCTTTTGTTCAATGAAGGCTGTATTTCTTTTCTCATTATAATTTAAATGAAATAATTCAATTTTCTTCCTTTTTTTTTTTTTTTTACAGATGCTGGACCCGAAAAGGCTGCAAGGAGGATTAAAGTAGTCAAGAAGGAGGTTGCTTCTGTCCTGAAGAAGGAACATCTCAATGTCACAAAAGCAGGTGAGATAATACAGTATGTTTATTCTTGTGGTTAGTATTTGATGAATTTTGCAGTAGATTAAATGCACTGAAAAGAGAGACTGTCCTCACCCGAAATCAATAGTATTGGTCACTTGTTCAAACAGCTTAAAACAATCAGTTTCTCAAATAGTCTTCCACAAAAATCACATTACAATCACATTATCTGTTATATATATTTTCTTAAATTTTTTCAGCTACATTGCAAGATACGACAGAGTTCACCTGCAATACCATGTAAAATAAAATAAAAATGAAATAGTCCCTGAAATAGTTTCCTGCTGTTCATTTCAGCTGATGAACCCAAGAGGGCAGTAAAGGTGTTGACAACTGCAGTAAAGCAGACAGTTCCTGTCCTGAAAAAGGAGCACATGAATGTTACAAAGATGGGTATGTAACCACATGTTAACTGTAAGGTACGGTGTCTGTGAGGTCATCAACTTGATATGATCAATCTGACATATCAAGTATCAAATCCAACTGTAACAGAGTGTTGTCCTTGACTCGTACAGTCTACTATAATTACTGTCTGCATAAAGTGCTACCATTCCATGTTTAATGTGAAGCTAAGATGCGCTAATGAATGGTCTTTTTAAATATTCCCCATTAATAGAGGTTCCTGAAGTTTCTAAGATGAAAGCCAAACCAGAACCTGCAATGAAAGGTAAGAGAAAGCTTTTATTATGTTGTGTCGGTTAATTTGTAAAAGTTGAATCTGATGTTTAGCTGTAAAAATGCTCCATAATTTAATATCTCACCAATCTTTAATCAGAGAATTCAAGATATTACAATCACTTTGTATAAGTTTTCATCACAATACAATATTTGTAAACATTAGTTGTAATTTAGAAGTGCTTATTCATAGTATAGAGACCTGACTGGAGCTCAAAGAAGGCTAGATAGATTGATAGGTGGCTTTATTTCTTTCCTCAGTATATTTTATGTGAAACTGTTCAATCAGCTTTGCCTTTGTATTTCAGACGATGGACCTAAAAAGGCTGCAAGGAGGATTAAAGCAGTCATGAAGGAGGTTGCATCTGTTCTGAAGAAGGAACATCTCAATATCACAAAAGCAGGTGAGATAATACAGAATTTAAAAGATCTGGTCAAAGTGATATTTTATCCTTGTGGTTAGTATTTGATGAATTTTAGAGTTTTCTGTGCTAATCAATTATATATTTTTGAACATTCATCAATAATAGAGGTTCCTGAAAGTCCTAAGGTGAAAGCCAAACCAGAACCTGCAAAGAAAGGTAAGAACATGCTTTTTATTATGTTGTGTCAACCGTCAATTCATTAGTAAAAGTTAACTTTTATGTTTTTTTTAGCTCTTTTGATGGTCCGTAACCATATATTGCACCAATAATTTAATCAGATGTTCAAGGATGAAAATATACTCACATATTATGCATATCTTTGGTGTGCTGACAGATTGTATGTGTACAACAGATAAATAATTATATCTCAAAAGAAAGTGTCACATTATAAACAGTTATCTTCATCCACTTATTCACCAGTGGCCGCTCATAAGGAGCCCAAGAAGGAACCAAAGGAACAAATCAAACATAAAGCTGTAAAACCAGGTAATGCAAAGACCCACGGATGCTGCATTCTAACCCATTTGGGGACTGTCTTAATCAGAGAGGAACGTAAAAATCGGAGAAATTGTAGCTGAAACACTAAATATCCTTACATCAACAAATTTATACCCCATTTATATAAATGAGGGTAGGCTAAAAAACCATCTCTCTGCGTAATGCAATAGTTCAGCAGCACCACAAACTGCATCAAAGGCAAATCTCCACTAACTCCCCATCCTATTTTGTGACACAGAAGTTCCAAAGGAAAACGCCAAAGTGGCTCCTGCTAAGAAAGGTAACAACCACAGTATTTGTTTATTCTAAGTTCTAGATATTGTTTTCAATTAACCAAAAAGCAAAAATGATTCATTGTTACAATGGAAATAAAACTATCCTGGTTGTGCTTTTGACACACAGAAGCTGCTGCTCCTAAGGGCAAACCAGTCGACATGAAAAGAGGTATAAGTTGTGAATTTTATAATAACATAAGAATAATAAACTAACTAAATCTTGAACTGCAATAACATACCGTATGCGTGTATTTTCACATTTCTGCTGCTGACAGAACAAGAGGGCGCACCCAGAAATGCCTCTCTGGTGAAACAGAGAGTCAAAATAGTGCCTATGAAAAAAGGTAAATTGCTTTTCGTGTATATGTTTTATTGGATGTTTTAGTGGGTTGAGTCTATGAGCCTAAGCCTACACTTGTTTACTTGTTTATTTGTTTTCAGAAGTCAAGGCGCCCAAAGAGAAAGTCAAAGCAGTTTCTGCAAAGACAGGTAAGGCACATTATATATCACCAAAATATGTATGTCATCAAGGTTCGGTCTGATCATTAAATATGTTTTCTTTAGCAGCTGACGTTTCAAAACAGAAGCCTAAACCGGTTCTAACAAAGAGAGGTGAGGCGCGTACTTGTATTTAGTTTTATTATTTTTCATCTTGTTTTCTGGAATGACAAACCTAAAATCCTCTGACACAGAACCTGCTCCGCTCAAGACAAAACCAGTCCCAGTAGTCGAAGGTAAGAGGACACTAATCAACATTAACGTTTATGTTTAAATAATAAAGCAATTAGTTTTCCTACTCATTCACTTTTTTTTCTCACAGCGGCAGACGTATCGCACAAAAATGTCTCAGTAACAAAGGAGAAAGTGAAGGTTGTGCCACTAAAGAAAGGTATATATTTTTATTTACACACTAATTCCAATATGTTTCATATGTTCACCGCTCTGCCTTTTATTATTTGAAGTGCTAACTGCTCAACATCCATTTGTGAGTTTTGAATTTAAAATAAACTGGTGCTTTCTATCTTCATCTTTTTATTTAACTGTATCTTTTCACACAATATTTTATTTTTCATAGTGCCTGTAACTCCAAAAGAGAATGTCAAACCAGCACCAACCAAAAAAGGTAGAGACAGAGATTAAATTAGTTTAATCAAACAAATATAATCCATATTTAAATTACACCTAATTTATATGAAATGTGAAAAAATGACTATAATATTATTTACTAAGTAGTCTTTTATTTTGAAATGAGCTATAATCACATTAACAACTTTTATATTTTTGTTGTTATTTGCTTTAGAAGCTGAGGTTCTCAAGGAGAAGAAGGCCGAGCCAGTGACTCCCACGAATGGTTAGTTTTTCTCCATTCATTATTTCACAATGCCTTTATCGCTCTTTTGTTTTTAATCAGTTTACTTGGTGGTTTCCCGCTGAACTGTACACAATGGAATTAATCGGGCCGCGTATTCCTCTAGCACCTGTTATCAAAGCTAAACCTAAATCTGCTGAAAAGAAGAAAGGTATGCAGCAGACGTGTGTTTCTGTAGCTATTAGTATATGTGGCTGCTGATGAAACGCTCATACAGACTCCGTGCTTGAGTAATATCATCAGTAACAGTAATATCGTCATTGACATAATTCGTTGAGGAAACTGACACAAATATGTTGGTACATTAGTGTTATGTGAAAACTGATTTCATGTCATTTTCAACATTGTCAATTTGGTCACTTCATGTTTAAACATGACTTGAAAATGTACATGCTTCAATGCTTACAAGTTTGAATTGTGATTTCCTAAAACAAAAAACTTTGACGAACTTGATATTTTGGAGATGCATGTTGTTCACACTGCAGAGATGACGTGCTTTATCTAAGATGCATTGTGTGTGTGATCAGTTTTCTAGGCTTGTAGCTTTTCAAATCGATTTATTGTGACATTTCCCCTCCTTTCTTTTAATATAGAAGCTGTTGTAAAAGAAAAGGCAAAGGCAAAAACCTCACAGAAAGGTGCTGATTAGTTGCACATAGTCTGGCTGCATTTCCCACTTTGCAGATTAAGAGTATGTAAGATAAATGCCAGATTTCCAGAAAATGTTAACAGCAGACATCTTAAATCAAATCTTTAAGAGACGTGATGTAGTTCAAGAACATCTGTCGAAGAGCAAGTTTAATCATGCCACTTGTTTTTTTTCTTCTTTCTCTTTAGAACCTAAGACCAAGACAGTTCTTGCCAAAAAAGGTAATGCGATATAATCCATCATTATTTGGCAAAAAGCTTAACGATCCTTAACACAAATCATTTTCATTACACTCAGCACCTGAGGTAGCAAAGGAGAAGCCTAAGCCAGCTCATCAGAAGAAAGGTAAGTGTCAACAACAAAGAAATCATAGACAAGACACAGTATTTCACAGGTCACATCACTCCTGAAGAAGAAAGGTAGCCTGCACTGGATTATCTGTGTTTGGTATCAAATAATTAGACCCTAATTATGTATAAAGCTTACTGAGTACCAACACATGCTTACATTCTTATCTACTCAGAGCCTACAGTGCCAAAGGGGAAAGTCAAACCAAAAGGTACCACGGTCATGTTTGGTGACAAATGTACTGAATATAAAAAATATATATATATCATCCCTTTGTGTTAGTTTTTAGCATTGAGTATTGTCACAAATAAACATGCATTAATTACCTTTTCTCCCAGCATTGCTGAGGAAAAAGGCCAAACCAGTCCATGTAAAGAAATGTACATTAGTCGTGCTTCAGTTGGAGCAGTAATCCATATGTGACATTGTAATTATAGCGATCTAATCACACAGTGTAGGTCAATGTTGTAGGTCAATGTTGATTGGATTGCCGAGGAGAGAAACAAGCATTTTGCCTATGAGATCCAACAATAATCAACATTATGTAAGTGATTTCGCTGCCTGAGCGCAATAGGCAAACTGCTGTTTCCATACAGTGATTCTGAGGAAGACTGTCTGCTTGTTCAGACAAGTGTAGTTCTGCAAAGCACTACACATACACAGACGCTGTTAGGCTTTTATAACTCACCTCTCTTAGATTTTAAAACAATAAAGAGCTGCGATTCCAAAGCAAAGGCCACCAACCCATCAAACATTAACAATGTGCTGTAAACGTTGAGATGTTTGGAACGTATATCTGGACGTTTCAGGCCCTTTGCACTGGAAAATTCCTCCTAACAGGAAATGATAATACATGCAGAGAATATGAGACATTGCATCGCGCTAGAAGCATCAAAAGTGGACAAACCAACGATAGTGAAGTGATTATTGTTTTTGCAGAAAAAAACAACAAAAAGGTACAAATCAACAATATGTATCTGTTCAACAGAGATGCACTTTTTAAAACGAATTACTGCTTTCTAGTTGTAGATCCCTCGTGCTCTGCAAGCTGCTTTTAGAGATTACATTCATCTTGTTGCTGCAATGCTGTGGCCCCAGCTGCAATATGCATTGTTGGAAAAGGAGCTAATAGTGGCTTTCGCTCTCAAGTTCTGTGTCCCGCCTTTCCCTTTTGCAGAACTGGAGACTCCTAAAGAAAAGGACACACTTGCTGCAGTGAGGAAAGGTAAAGTGTTTAGTGCAATAACAATTGTATATTATTTCACAGTTATTTAGATCAATGTATTATGGAACAAGCCAGGAGTCAATTGGAGATGCATTTGAGTCTACGTTAACAGTCTATTATATATATGCTGCTGAATCAATTGCATTTCCTTCCTTATGATGCAGCCATTTCTAGGGAAAAGGCCAAACTAGCCCGTGTGAAGAAAGGTACATTTGTGGTGCTTCGTTAGAGGCAGCTCTTTATGCAACCACGTTACCTTCGTGGTAATCAGATCACAACATGTAATCTGAAGGCTGAGAATATTTTTCTGCTGAATGTGAAAATGTCGAAGAGTTCTTTAAAGAAAACATCTGAAATTAAGATTTGTACCCGTTTTGAATCAGCAAGAAAGTATTTTGCTGTAGGTTTATAGACAATAATTTACAGAATACTACCATAGATTTGTTTTTCTATAAACCATACATGATGCATCATAGGTTCATAGACAACAGGCGCATAGTTGAGCAATAGTATCCAGTATCTTACTGAACACGCATGCTGGTAGCTTTAACAATCCTAAGAACTCTCTTGGTGGCGATGTTTTCACTGCTTGCTTTGCCATTAAACCTTAAGCATGTCCTTTCATAACAACATATACGTTTGAAGTAAATGAGCCACAGACAATGTCATTCTGGAACTAAAAAAACATGCCTATATGCTAACCTGGCTTACACAAGCAAGAAAGGAAACCCCTTTAACTTTCACGCAGCTGTAAAATAAAACAAAACGTTAACTTTTTTGTGCCTGGCAATGAAACTACGTTGTAATTGTCCATTTCTTGCCTACTTGTGTTCGTTTCATATTTGTGAAACAGCGTATGAGGTTCTAAAAGAAAAAGTCAAACCCACTGCAACAAAGAAAGGTACAGCATACGACCAGCTTTAAGTAGTGTTTGAATACTTCAATACATCTACGATATGCTGGACAATTATGGAAACTTTGTGATTTATTGCAGAGGTCAGAGTTCGTAAAGAAAAACCAGAGCCTGTAAAAGAAGGTATCTTGATTGTTAAGAAACTGCCTTTGTGACCGTTTATAGTACACCTGCTAGCCTACTGTACACTGGAGATAAAAATAACTTTCATTTATTTATTTTAGAAAAAACAGTTGAGAAGAGGGCAACCAAAGAAGAGAAAGCTAAAGGTACAGTACGGCACTTGTTGTCTATTCTGCGGGAAGTGGTTTGAATCTTTGACTAATAATTGTTATTAATCTGGTGTATTGTCCATTTACAGAGGACAGAGTTCTTCAACAGATACAGGATCCAGCAAAGAAAGGTAAAACTGTTTGTTAAGCAACTCAATTCTGAATCTTCTAACTTTATTTGAACCCACAAAATGCTCTTTTTGTTGTAGAAAAATCTGCTGAGAAGAAGGTTGCCACGGAGGATAAATTAAAAGGTGGTCTACTGCATAGGAAAGCAATATTCTAGAGTAACATATCACTGTATTGTTTTATAATTAACATTGAGTTCTTATTTTGATAGCTGAGCCTTCTGTATCAGACAGCTTTCAAATGGAAGGTAAGTACGAAGTCGCCTCTCATAACCGAAATATCACACAAGTGTGCAAATTGCATGCGCGGCCTACTTCCAGGATGCCAGAGAGAGGCGAGGAACACAGTGTACTGAACTGTACTGCCCTGTGTTGTTCTGTCCTCCACAGAGGAGCCCTATTTCCAGTGTTTCTTTGTGGACGAGGACGAGGCCCAATTTCCTTTCTACGCCTTCTCACCGCTGCAGATTTGAAGCTTCAGTCTGAATCCAGTCTGAGGTTTACAATTTAGTCAATTTTACTGATAATGACGAGGTCAGGTCACGCCCTGAGCTGCTGAAACGCAGCCTGCTGTTTCACTGCTGCTTTTCATGAGAAAACCCAGGACAGCAGAAGATGATGGGGGATTTAATGTGACGGTTCGATTTTCTTTTACTTCCAGATTTGGTTGAGCTCTCGTACCAAATACATGCAGCCGGTGTCATTCCTTTCCAATTTGTTGTTTATTTTTTTGTGTTTAATTGTTTTGAAAGGTGGATATCTTGAGAATGATGGAACAACATAGTATATTACCTCGGTGGATCATTCATGTAGATGCTCACGGGCAAACACATACAAATAAAAATATGATGGTGCATTTTTTTTTCTGAAGGAACATAATGCTGTAAACAGGGTACAAAAACGGCCACAAATGCGGATTCTAGCCGGACAGAGGTTCAATTCCCACATTTACTTGAAAAGTGGTTTGTACAGTAATCGTACATACATTTTTTATGCACCATGTGTAATTTCAGCGTTTTCCTTCATTGCATTGTAGATGGCCATATTGTTTAATGCTTAAAACTTATCCAGCTTTTAAAGCCCTTGAATCTACAACTGGGCATTTGTAGTGTTTGTGCATTATTCCATAATTATTGATATTATTTCAGTAATTTCGAGGAAACCTTGTTTTTCACACATATTCCTCTATCTAATGAAAGGAAAGTTTTTCTGTTTTTGTCTACTGTCTGTTATGTGTCAAAAGGAATGACCACGCACTGTATATGAGAGCTCCCAAACGTACAGATGAAACACTACCTTTAAAGTCTTATTTAACTGCCGACATGTGCAGCTCCTCATTTTGACATTGGCGCTAAAAACAAGCATTGCATTGCCTGTACTATGAGAATGAATAAATGACGACATGTTGGAAAAGCTTTTTTTTTTTTCCAACTGCTCACTCTGTTCCAATTCTTCTACTTAAGGCTTTTGAATATGATGCAGCTTGTTTTAGTCAATGAGAGGGCGAGTATCACTCTTTTCTTGCACTGCATCAAAGATGTTTTACAAGCTGGAACATCAACAGCAGGGCACATGTGATGGATTTTTTGTCAGTCAAAAGGGATGTGGCTAACAGCAATTCCTTGATAGACCAAAAACGATATATATTGTAGTAACCTTTTGAACAGGTTCTTAACATATATATGATATTAATGCATATCTTATATTGTTACATCCCATTTACTGTATATACAGAAGGTAACAGGATTCATATTACATTTTACAAATATCCTGTGCTGTGATGTACAGTGTGGGTTACATGATTTCAGATCGATTTCAAATACTAGTATTGGTTAAAAGTGAAATCCAAGTCACATGTTCGAAATCTCTGAAGAGTAACAGTATGAAAGATGATGACGAGAGCTGCGAGAATCAGCTATTTACAGGTTCATTTGAAAACCTGAATGTTATTGTCAACGTTATGTTGACATCAAGTGTAACACTGAAATGAAACATTTACATATTGGATTATATCTGCACATTATGGGATTACACTCTAAATTAATGCAGATGGCGTCAGATGTAAACTGGTACGTTATTTCTTGGCTTGCACCAGCTGTTGTTTACTAACGGCTCTTTATATTTTGCTGCATATGCCGCATTGAAGACAGTTATTAGAGTTTATGGCACTAATCCCAAATCTACTCAAGAGTAAATCCCCTTATCTTTTTTGTAATAGAAACAAACTCTTAATTAGTCCATACAGTAGATGGTGCATAAGACCCTCTGCAGCTCACAGTGAGCTCAGGCTCCTGTAATTGACTGTAACAGCTTGAGTTTAATGGTGATGCTCCTTCATCACTGTTGTAGCTGTTTGTTTTGTTCCCAAAATGGCAGTGGACTGTCTTTGAATATTTATTTTGAGATAATGAATTTTAGTTTAAAAAAAATATATTGTTGCTAAATAACAGAAGGCTTTTAGATTTATGGTGACAGTATTGGAGAATATCTGTTTTAATTGTTTTAACTGAATTGTACCTAAAACTCACTTGTAAACATGTGCAATACATACATTTGTTTGGGAATATCTCAGTGATGAGAGCACTGTATGTTTATCTAATTGTCCATGAATGAAATGTGCATGATGATGTGTGTGTGTGTGTTTTATGCTCACAAATGTTTTTGTGATATTTTTTCCCCTACTTTGAGAATGGCAACACTAAATACTTGAACTTATAAATCATTTGATAACAATAACTGACATATGTCTGTCAGTGATGTTGCGAGAACAAGAAGTTATCAAGTCATATTTAAAATAACACTGTTGTAAATAGTTGAATAAGTGGTAAAATAGAGAGATTTATCCCCTGAACCATTACTACTGCAACTGCTCTTTAACTGCAGTTAAAAATCACATTATGTATCATTTGTCAATTACATCTTCTTTGTGAATCGTAGCAATTTGACATTAAAACATAGCAATACAAGTGTGTCTTTTGTAAGTCTCGTCTTTTCAACACAAAGAGAGAGTCCGTACAAACTGAAGGGGACAACAGTCGATGGTCAGTTTCTCATGCTGTATTTCCCTATTGAGGCCAGAGAGGGGTTACTACTGGTCAGTTTACACCGCTGACAGATTCCACACAAAGAGGACACTCCCTGTGCTCTCTTGGGTAGCGTATTGAGAACAAGAGAAGCTTCACTAAACCATTATCTCTCACGGTTTTCTCCAAGACGGAATCTGATAATCTCCCCTTTCTACATGTTCAGTGTGATTGTGCTGCTGTGCAAATTGTTACATAAACTCGCCTGAACTTGCCTTGTAACCGTTTTCACCCTAAATACTTACGCAAATGATATTGCCTGCTTTTGTGGGAATAAAGGCATTTTTTTTGGCATACTGTGTAACTGGAGCATAAAGACGTATATTGATTGAAATTAATTCAGTGAGCAACGGCCAAATGAGTTCCACTCCAGTTACCACAGTTGCTTTGTGTCGCGCGCTATTCAGAGGTGGCCAAAAGCTTGGCAGCCTGTGCATTGAGATAAGAAGAATGGCCACTTGTAGTCACAGTGTTCAGTAGGCAAGACACACAACCCACAGGGCAGGACAGCTTGGCTTCTTAAAATGTGGGAAAGATGGAGGATAGATGGTGGAACTTTAAGATTGAGATCACAAAGGTTTACTGACAGACTCTAATCTTAGACTACTAACTGTGGGATATTGGATTGATACAAACTGTTCACATCCAGCACAGTGTCCTTTCTTAGCATTGGCTGTCATCTGTCCACACCCCATCGAATGATGCCTCTACGTAATGACACCACAACTAAAACCGGATTATCCCGAGGCGTGTGACATCACCACACCCACCCCCTCCAGCTCCTAGTCTCTGACCATCTGGGGGTTACTAGAGGACATTCATTCCCATGAGTTCAATGGTCAGTGTGACCTGCTGCTGCGGCGCGGCCGGCTCTGGCCTGCACCGTCACCCTGCAGCTGTCACCTGGAACTCACCCATCACAGGGAAAGCACTGTTCCCACAACTTAGGTTGACATATTTGAAAAGAAATGTAGGACTCCATTCAGAAAGTCTGAGACATTAAGGTTTAGACAAGTAGTTTATTTTTCCATTTTTAACATACACTGATCAAAACAGTTTTAGGCCCTTCACAGTCTGAATTTCTTACAAAAAAGATTTCCCAAAATATGTATCTCATTTTACAATAGCAAATCAAGTGCAAATCACTGCATACTGTAAAACAAACAGGAGAACACCTTGTTGATCGTTTGCAGTGCATGAATGATTTGCTCATGGAAGTGGATGGGGAAGTTAGGCTTTCTCATATGTGCGGACCGCCTGGACTCCCTCGTGAGTCAAAGTCTGGAGGTCGAGAAGAGACAAAGCAAAAGACAACCTTTATTACATGATGCCAGTTAATACTTAATAGTCTATACTTAATAGATGTGGTTTTAATGCAAAATCATTCCTGTTGGAGGTAAAGCAGGTTTTCGGCAGTTCATGTGGGTCATTACAACATTAACAAGCCAGTCAAAGTGCTTCACACAAGTACTCTATAATGTGAATGGCTTTTTTCATGGGGTGATGTAGATAAATAGAGATGAGACACCTCTGCTGTTCAGGGTCATATTGACCCGCTCACTCAAAATCAAGCCAAATGAGTCATAAGGATTTGTATTGAAAGTAAACTCTATTTATGTTTATTTATAGTGTTAAGAAACAGACATTTACAAAAAAAAAAAAAGATATGAACACAATGAACGAGGTGTGTGTGTGTGTGTGTGTGTGTGTGTGTATGTATGCTGTCCTACAGTAAGCTGCTGTGTTGTGTGTATCTGCAGAGTGTAATGTTGGTAGGACTCCCAAGCAACCCTTTCGTATGTTTCTCCCCTCCCCTGCTAAGTGTGGGCGGGAAAATAAAAGGTTCCCGCCAAAATAGTATCTGTTTTTCTCGCACAGGTGCGGTAGTGAGAAAGAGACTGTGTGTGCGTGTGAGATTGGGATGAAATATTGTGTGTGTGTGTGTGTGCGTGTGTGTGAAATGGGGTGAAACATGGTGGGAGGTAGAAATATGTTGTCTCACATTTTCAAAGAAAGAAATGGTCTAAACTTGACCCTTCTGACCCCTTATAGCCTCCACTTTCACTGCCGGGTCAAATTGACCCGAACATCATCTCTGTAACATAAACCTGCAGGGGGGGTTGCAAATACATGATACTTTTTTTTTTTTAAGTTTCATGTTGATTAAACTAATTAAGGCAAGCAGAAGAAGTTTCATACAAAAAAAGTACTTTCAAATATTTTTTCTAGATTTTCAAACTTTGAAACGGGTCAATTTGACATAACAGGAGGGTTAAGTTGTGTGTTATTTAGTCTTACCGCCACCAGCTTCCCATCCTTGATTTCTCTGACAAATTTGGTCTCCTTGCCGTCCCACTTCTGCACTTGCACTAGTTTGTCTCCTTCCATGGTGAAGATAGACTGCAAGCACAAGCACAGTATAAATTTGAACCGTCTCCAAACATAAAGTCAGATTACACCCTGACTTTTTACTCAGCTTACTTTGACATGCCGGTCATCAACCGTGGTCTCATCAAACTCCTCTCCAAGTTTGGAGGAGATCTCAGTGTTCTTGAAGGTGCTCAGGGTTTTAATCACAAGTTTTTCCCCATCCTGGCTCATCACTACTGTGGGTTTGGTGACATTGCCCACTTGTCTTGTGGCAAAACCAATACCTGTCAAAAAAAAGTGCATTATTATTATGGTGGACACAAATGAAGACAATCACAACTATTTATTTTACTTATTTTCTGTACTTACAGGGAAAATATCTGAGAAAACTAAGCAACTATCCGAGAAACACAATATTGCTCACACTAAAATAATATCTTATTTCAAGCAGAAAAGTAATTTATCTTACTTTTTTTTTTCTTTTTTTTCTCTTTTTACATTGAGAAAGCCTTTCCAACTACCTTTAAATCTCCCCATCTTATTTTAAGAGGCTGTATTGTGTAATTCGCCTGTGTGTCTCCCGTTGTCTGTAGCCAAACTGATCCCATTCTGGCATCTTAACATTAGTCCGTGGCTTGCTACTGTATTGACCCTTCTGATTGTTACTCTGACCTTGTTGTCCTTTTTCTTATCTCACTGTTTTGTAAAGAAATGTGTTACATATTGGTATGCATGTTATAAACAGTAAATGGCAACCAGCTAATCAGCTAAATAGCACCCCTTCACTTTTTTTGCCTCTATGAGGGACCATGAACTTGAATATATATATATACTGGAAAATGCAATACTGACATTTTTCATCTTTCTTTCGAAATGCACTTGTTTAAAATGCATATTATTAATTTCAAGCAGTCGTATTTTGCAGCATGTGTCGCTCTTTTTATTTATCTTACCAAGTGACTTCATGTATTCATCAAAGTTCTGGCTGTCGACCAGTTTCCATGTCGCGCAGAAAGCATCAACCATTTTTGCAAGTGCTGTTGGTCCAGTTCAGTGTGAAACAGTCAAACGGTCTCTGTTCTCCTTGCAGTAAATCCTGCAGCGTGTCCGTCCGCCTGCCAAATTAATACTGAGACAGAGGGCGGGGACTCGAGCGGCAGCGGGAAATCTGATTGGATGTTCCAAAACGCTTCGTGGGCTGTGAATGGTCAATGCAAAATGTTCACACACACACAAAAGACACGCAACTTGTCTGCGTTTTTTTTCCCCCCATACATTTAATTTAAATATCTAATTTTTATATATATATATATATATATATATATATATATATATATATATACACACAGTGGGGAAAAAAAGTATTTAGTCAGCCACCAATTGTGCAAGTTCTCCCACTTAAAAAGATGAGAGGCCTGTAATTTTCATCATAGGTATACCTCAACTATGAGAGACAGAATGAGAAAAAAAAAAAATCCAGAAAATCACTGTCTGATTTTTAAAGAATTTATTTGCAAATTATGGTGGAAAATAAGTATTTGGTCAATAACAAAAGTTCATCTCAATACTTTGTTATATACCCTTTGTTGGCAATGACAGAGGTCAAACGTTTTCTGTAAGTCTTCACAAGCTTTTCACACACTGTTGCTGGTATTTAGGCCCATTCCTCCATGCAGATCTCCTCTAGAGCAGTGATGTTTTGGGGCTGTCGCTGGGCAACACGGACTTTCAGCTCCCTCCACAGATTTTCTATGGGGTTGAGATCTGGAGACTGGCTAGGCCACTCCAGGACCTTGAAATGCTTCTTACGAAGCCACTCCTTCGTTGCCCGGGCGGTGTGTTTGGGATCATTGTCATGCTGAAAGACCCAGCCACGTTTCATCTTCAATGCCCTTGCTGATGGAAGGAGGTTTCCACTCACGATACATAGCCCCATTCATTCTTTCCTTTACACGGATCAGTCGTCCTGGTCCCCTTGCAGAAAAACAGCCCCAAAGCATGATGTTTCCACCCCCATGCTTCACAGTAGGTATGGTGTTCTTTGGATGCAACTCGGCATTCTTTCTCCTCCAAACACGACGAGTTGAGTTTTTACCAAAAAGTTTTATTTTGGTTTCATCTGACCATATGACATTCTCCCAATCCTCTTCTGGATCATCCAAATGCTCTCTAGCAAACTTCAGACGGGCCTGGACATGTACTGGCTTAAGCAGGGGGACACGTCTGGCACTGCAGGATTTGAGTCCCTGGTGGCGTAGTGTGTTACTGATGGTAGCCTTTGTTACTTTGGTCCCAGCTCTCTGCAGGTCATTCACTAGGTCCCCCCCGTGTGGTTCTGGGATTTTTGTTCACCTTTCTTGTGATCATATTGACCCCACGGGGTGAGATCTTGCGTGGAGCCCCAGATCGAGGGAGAGTATCAGTGGTCTTGTATGTCTTCCATTTTCTAATAATTGCTCCCACAGTTGATTTCTTCACACCAAGCTGCTTACCTATTGCAGATTCAGTCTTCCCAGCCTGGTGCAGGTCTACAATTTTGTTTCTGGTGTCCTTTGACAGCTCTTTGGTCTTGGCCATAGTGGAGTTTGGAGTGTGACTGTTTGAGGTTGTGGACAGGTGTCTTTTATACTGATAACGAGTTCAAACAGGCGCCATTAATACAGGTAACGAGTGGAGGACAGAGGAGCCTCTTAAAGAAGAAGTTACAGGTCTGTGAGAGCCAGAAATCTTGCTCGTTTGTAGGTGACCAAATACTTATTTTACCGAGCAATTTACCAATTAATTCATTAAAAAGCCTACAATGTGATTTCCTGGATTCTTTCTCCCCATTCTGTCTCTCATAGTTGAAGTATACCTATGATGAAAATTACAGGCATCTCATCTTTTTAAGTGGGAGAACTTGCACAATTGGTGGCTGACTAAATACTTTTTTTCCCCACTGTGTGTGTACACGTACACACACACACACACACACACACAAATTATAACAAGTGTAATGTTTACCATGTTCATCTTAGTTCTGAGTGTTAGCTTGCTAACATTTGCTGATTAAATGTAAAATCAACTTAATTAATTATACATAATTAATACATAAAGCTGAGGTTAATAAGAATGTCATTACTTAGAAAAAAAATTATAATATTAAGACCTGATAATGGTGCTAGAGAAAAAGTTAGATTACTAAAGTTACGATTCCCTAGTTTAAAAAAAATATCTTTAAAATACAGTAGTTTCACCTTTTCCAAAAGGATAATTTAGTATTCCTCTACATTTCTAAAAATTAAATAAGAATTTCTTTTTTAGCAATAGGACGACAAAAAGCACATACGCCAACCACATGGTGGTGCTGAATAAAAAAAAATAAATACAAAAAATAAAAATAAAAAAGAAATTTAAAAAAATCAAAAAAAAAAAAAAAAAAAAAATCAGGATCACCAAAGTCATTAGGATTCATGATAAGCAACCATGAACGTCTGTACCGAACAGACATTCATTCAGCGATGCGGCTTAATTCAGTATAAAAACAGTATTCATCAGCAGCGGACTTTATTGTTGATAGAGTATACAAACAGATGTCTCCTGTAATAATACAGTAGAATCATTAACACCAAAAATGTATTGAATAATACTACCAAATGAACAAAATTCAATCTTACTTTTGCTGAATATATTGTCAAAAAAAGCACTGGTCAAGGCTCGATGTATAAATGAAAAAAAAGTTTAAAAAAATCTGAAAAAATATCCCACTTCAAATTAATGATCTATAAGAATGCTTTTTAACTTCCCTGAAGTTCACATATAGTGCATGCAAATAAAACATTAAATGTTCCACAATGAAAACTCTGGGATCTTTAAATCATCACAGAGAATAGAGGCAGAAATGATTTCAATGTTTTACAGTATCTGTCATCACAGATGGTTACATGATGTTTGGCTCCACACTGTTATTCCTTTGAACATGAAATGAACAGATTGAGGTGAAAGTGAAGACGGTCTGCTTTAATCGTCAGCAATAAAGAGGGTGGATCGTGCCCGATAAACGTCAATTAATTTATTTAACCATTTATAGAATATGAGTCAAAGTAAACAAAAGCAGACAATCTACATTTGATGTTTCACGTCACATTTTAAGAGTCAAATGATCAGACTATGAGTTACTGAAATACTTTTTTTTTTTTTTAAACCGTAGTAGGTTAGCAGAGCAGGTACTTTAGGTTAAAAATTGTCATCATGAACTACAGCATGAACCTGGGGATGAAAACAGACGGGGCAGCAGAGGTAGAATGAGAGAGGCAGAGAGCGAGGTAGGGAGGACAGAGCTGCACCGAGGCATCTCCACAGTAAGGCCTCTCTCTCCTCTCTTTTATCAACCTAAAAACAAGCCCATGATGCAGATAAACGCTCTTTTGTTCTCGGCGCACAGTGACAGGTTCGTCATAAAAATGAGCATCACCTAAAACACCCTATGGGCAACAACAACAACTAATGGATGTTGATGTCCTTCTATTAATGGCTTGTTGTACTGAAAAATGTATTAAAACAAGTGTAAATGTTTGAGCCGCTAGCAGATGGCAACACAGATGCAATCATCCCTGATTGCTATAGTTTATACAAAACTGTAAATGAGAAAGAAACTCCAGTTTACACAAGCATGACTATACATCCAGCCTGCAATAGCCCAAAAACACTTAAGAGGAGAACAAACAGTTTGTTCTGCTTCTCTTAGCTACTGATCCATGCAGCACAAATGGCCTAATGGTCAAACTCTCTTCAAATCTTTCTCGGATAATAAAACTGCAATTTCATTTAATAAAGGGCATGAGTGGTGGTTGTAGAGAGAGGCGTCTTACAAGAAATCCAGTAATATTGTATAGAAATAATGCAAATTACAGTCAATTGTTAAAAAACAGCTAATCAAATTGCCAGAATGAAATTCCTTCTCTTCCTGTCAATAAAATAATTAGATTTTAGTCGGTCTTGAAAGATTTGTGGAGAAATACAGAAAAGAAAATGGCATACGACTGACGTCAAGTGGATTGTCCCAATTGCATCCGTGTGTAAGTGCGTGCAGTTGTATAGGTAGGTTTGATTCGTCCATGCACCCATGGGAGCAGAGTGCTATCTGAATACACCCACGTTGATCGATAGCGCTACCTCTGGTTTCCTGGATTTGGTCGGTCCGGTCTTCTTCTGTGGTCCAACACCCTCGGAGCCCGCAGCCTGCCCTCTGGAAAGAAGCAAGGGTAGAAAACAATAAACCAAGTTGTACAACAATAAGCATAATTATTATTGACAGTGCTGTGGTATTACAGCGAAATTACACAATGATTGCCAAATAATAAATGCCATAAAAAGGTTGTTTTCTGTACACTCTAGTCAGTTCAAGAAATAACATGGACATGATCACAACTGCTGGGAGCGTTCCCACCCTTTCCTGCATTGCTCTGCCTGCTCCCTGAGCCTCTGCTGGCCCTGCTCATCCTCCAGGGTGAGGAAGTCCCTGTTGTTATCAATCAAAAGATTCTGGGGAAAAATAGGAAAAAAATGCATTCAGTGTTTTTCAAAGAAATCAAACCCAACAGACTCATTGTTGAAAAGGAACAGGGGTTTATGAATACCTTTACGCCGATTGTGTCGCCATCTTTGAGGTGAAATGGTGCCCCCAGTAGTGATTCAGCCTTCCTCTTCTTTTTCTTTTTGGAAACCTGCTGACTCTGAACATAAAAGTCATAAGACATATTATTCACTGACAATCGGATCGCACCAAACACCTAAAAACAGGTTCCTCCTCAAGAAATGACTCTCTTCTCCTCTCACCCAGTTTGAGATTTCCTCCCAGGCGTGTTTGTCCGGCTGGTGTTTGGCCAACAGCAGAGAATCAGGGGAGAGGCCGTAGTGTGCAGCCAGACAAGTGCGTAGAGACCGTGGGGAAGAGTCACGGGTTGCATCCCAAACCAGCTCCTCTGGCGGGTAGAAACCCCTCTCCCCTGGGACTCCCATTCTAACACTCACCATCACATCTTTAGGACTTAGGAACAGAACATAAAATAATTTAACCAACGTTGAAATAAGGGAAATGTACTCATTGGAAAAGAAAGGACGCTCCATCACAATGTGTAGAAAGCAGAAAACTTTACCCAAGATCTTCTTCTGTTAGTAGCTGTTGCACACAGAGGTCTGTACCACTGGGCAGCTTCAATTTCCTGATCAGGAGGAAACCAAACAGAAAATGTTGATCGTGTAAACAAGCAATGACTCAACACTTTGCATTTGTTGATAGATAAGAGAATCTGTTGGCCACGCTGTGACAGGAAAGTGTCTCTACTTGAGTGTGAGCTGCTGTCCTCGGAGGATACGTGCCAGCCTCCGGCCCTCAAGCTGCCACACACGCATGAACGCAGTGGTTGGCACACACGCATCCTGAAGGGCCGGCAGTGTCAACACCTGACAAAGAAACAGACAACGAAGTAAAGTGAGTCATTTGCATTTAGTTAGTTTAGCTAAAACTAAATAGTACCCCACAGCTGGCAAAATGTAAAGTGTTCATCTTCTGGCCTCATAACTAACCGGTAGGACTGGAAAAGGGCGGCTCTCTGGGTCCTAAGTCATGAGGACTGAAATCCACTAGAACCCAAGAGAATCCATTTGGGGTCTTTGAGGATTACCTGACTAATATAAACGACCATCACCTCCTGCTTTAAATAAACACATAACCTTCATACGCTACCTGCGTCTTGAGATCCTCCAGGGTAGCCTCGTCCGATATCTCCACCTGTCCTGCACTTCTCAGCTCCGCCGTGTTGCCGGCACCCAGAGGAGGTGAGTCACCCGCGGCCACAACATCAGTGTGGCCGTTGTCAGTGTGATTAAAATCCATGGAAACTGCCGAGTTGTTACTGGGATTCAGACACAGCCACACAGATAGCTTGAGAAACCCCTGACAGAAAAAAAAACAGACAACAAAAGGCTAAAGAGAGAGGTGAAGTTATAATATATGAATGTCCAGACACAATGAAAACATTTTCAGTACCTTCGGAGGAAGTTGTCCTTCTGTGACGACTAATGTCTCTCCATTGTTTATCTTCAGCTCTGACAGAGAAGCATCCTGAGGAAAACAGGTTGTTTTTAAAATGGGACGCTATACATATAGCTCTAAAAGAAGCAAACACCGTTTGATGATGACACATTGTGCAAACTACAATCTGCCACTGACCTCATCCATAATCGGCTCTCCAACCTCCTCACACCAATCGAGCCTCCTTAAGTGCCAACAGGTGCCTGCAAACACACATTTCAACGACATCAACGACCAGATCGTCCTCCAAAGTACAATAGCAAACTATCTGTTTGATTACAGTTTTACAAACGCAGAGATAATCTTGGTGAAGAGCAATTCACAAACACTAACTCTACATGCAAGTTACATACAGTACAAAATAACAGAATGCATTGATGTAGTTTTACCATCAAGTCCAACAGCCTCCAGCATTGCCTTTAGACACTGCAAATAGCAAAAGATCATGTTTTCTTAAAGTACACATACATGTAACGTAAGCACATAACGTTTCACACATTACGTTTCCGCACCTCTTTGACGGTACACGTTTTCTCCACCATGATGTCCATCTCCATGCCAGCAGAGGGCGCTGAGCCCACAGAGAAGTGCAAGAAAAGCTGCAAAGCAAAGAGAAAATCTTAAGTCACAAACATCAATCAAGCACTTTGAAACGCTCGTAACTCTTCGTCTCATTTGGTTGTACACTGGAGGATAGGTTTACTGGTACTTAAAGGTTCTGTAACATTCACCTGTGCAGCTGCAGTTACAAAGGATTTATTGAAGGTTTCAAATTAAAAAAAGACACACCTGTGATGCCTTGGGGGCATTTCCCGGACAGAGAGTCAGTGTGGTCATGAGTCGCACCCCTGCATCCCGAACACTCAGCTCTTCACACACTGTCAGGTAGACCAGGGTGAGACAAACACAAGAGCACTTAGTAAATGTGTTCCAAACTTCAAACACAGATGATGAGAAGAAAAATTACAAGCAGGGGGAGTACCTTTTAAACATTTGATGAGGGGCAGTGTAAAGGAATGCCTGTCTTAATATTTTGTGAAAATGAGGGGGATTTCCAGCTCTAAGATATCTGCACCATTAAAATCATTGCTACCCTCAGGGAACAAACGACACGGTACCTGGAGGAAGGAGTTTCCCTGTGCAGTCCACATGCCTCAGACAGTACTGTGCACCTGGTCAGTGAGACAAAACACAACAGCTCATTTAAGTATTAATGTATACTTAGATAAAAATGTAAGAATCCAAACTCGAATACAAATCTGGTGATTGCCTGAACAGTAGCGTAGATAAAAATGTTACTTGAAGAAACTTTTCAGTCATTAATAAGCACATTATATAGTTATAATTTATCAATATCTACATTAGCCCTGTAAAAATCCAAATCCTTTGGTTCCGTATTGGGGATACATATATGAATCAAAATTTGAATGTTCCAGTTTAACGGCCTGTGAATTTACATTTTGTAAGAGGTATTTATAATATTTCCCGTTTACTTCTTTATCCAAAAATGCAATTAACTCTAAAAAAAAGGACGTCTAATGCAAGCTGTTCTTGTCAAGCATATTTAATGCACATCAAATAGATTGGTTCAAATAAATTGTACTTGAGGTATGCAAATGTTTTGCTGCTTTATAGAAACAAATACCAAGTTAGATTGTAGGCGTCTACATACTGTATATATATATAGTTATGCAACGCTGAGCATCTTGCCTGTGAGTTGCTCCTGTAGCTGCAGCTCCTCTATGGCCCTCTGTTTCACCTCACACAGCAGCTGTAAGAGAGAGATGCATTAGACTACTACATTATTGGAAGAAAGAACAATGTGGTGCTTAAATGGAGAGATAAAGAGTCTAACCAGATAGATAACATAAAAATAAAAACTTAATGACCATATTCCCTGTAGCTGGAACTTTGATCTTCCTCCTCTCCTCTTCTTTCTCCCTCTCTCCTCCTCCTCCTTCCCCTCCATGTGGTCCAAACTCCACCTGGAGCCAGCGGCAGTCCGACGGTGTGGTCACAGTGACGACGTCTCCGTTTAGAGCGAACATGCTGAGCAAAGTTAAGAGGACGGTAGTAAAACACACAGAAAGAAAACAACACACACACACACACAGACACACACACACGGCAGAGGATTGTACCTGCTGTCGAAGGACTGTGGCTCCAGCACCAACAGCGCATCTCCGTCTTTCAGCGACAGCTCCTTGAGCGTCCGTTGCATATCACCGGGGGGGAACACCCTCCATCCACTTGCCCCTCCTCCCTCTCCTGTCCCCTGCTCTTCCCTCTTTCCTCCCTTATGCTCCTGGCACAGCAGACTCTCCTCCGGCTCCCCTAGTGCCTCCCTCACCTCCCCGAGAGTCGAAGCACCTGCAAACCCTCTGGCCTCCCTTTTAAGCCCTGGCCCCCCATTTTCAAAACCTCCTCTTTCCTCCACAGACTCCAACCCATCCCCCTCCTCCGGATCCTCATCTTCCCCGAAATTGGGACGGACTACATTCAGCAGCACCGGCTCCCACTCGGCTCCAGTTAGGACAGTCGCACCACACACCTGAAGGGATAAAAACCAGTGCACAAGTCGGACACTCGGGATCTTGTCAAGTGAGCATGCTTACTAAACACATATTGTGATCGCAGAGAATGTGTTGTACTCACCTCTCTACCGTTCCACACAAACAGGTCAGAGTTCGTACAAATGCCTGCACTATACAGGGAGACATTGTCGTCTGCAAAGACAACCACACCCGGAATGTTTGTTACAAACGTTCGAAACTTCTTCTACCTTCTTGAGGTTTTTTGCATGTCAGTGTCTCACCTGTTAAAGTATTGTAGAGGTGTAGACCTGCAGGAAGACTCCTGGCCACAGTCAGAGCCATATCCCCCTCCCAGAGTTCCTGCTTCTATATAAAAAGATGCACAAGACATGAGCTTATTCCATCATTCTTTGACTTTTTAAAAAAAATGCAACAGCTAGTCTTTTGGGAAATGGAGTTACCTGATAAATATCCAATCGAAGATCTCCCACGGTCTTTCTGCGGTCAAAAGTCAGAGTGGTGCTCCCGTTCTGCTCTTTGCTGATTGGTTGCAGGGCTCCATATTCTAGCCTGTACGAGGGTGCCAGATGGAGACGCAGCACCACGGTGTTACTCGTGGCTTCAAACTCCTCGCTGTAAGAGAAACAATGGAGAATAATAATTTGCGTGAGAAAACTATTCTAATATAACCTTCTTCAATTTCTGGGTTTTGATCTTCACAGATTACGTATTTTTAGCTTCCGCTGAAATGTCTCACTCGTAAGTCAAGAACCGTCAGAACCTGCCTATGTAATAATCGTGTAATGTGTGTTTGTGTACCGCATTTTCTGCATTTTGATGTTCTCTTCCTGAGCCATCTGGATGAGGTTAAGAGGAATCTTATATTGGGGATTGTTCAGAGCTGCAGATGTAGAAACACATTGATACATATTAGTCATCTACTTACTTCATATACTGTGTACTTGATGTCAAAACTATTAATTAAATTAAAAGATGAACACATTTGTTGCTTCATTGAACACAATCACAACTTTTCTCCTCTTTCTTTGATCTTATCTTCCAATAGAAATGGTGTCCATTACCTTCAGTGGGCCTGTGCAGCTGTGTTTTTCTGTAGAACAGCATGTATGCGCTCTCTTTGCCCTGGAACTGCTTCTCTATGTCAGACTCCCTGATGGAAGTCACCGTGGAGTCGTTAAGATCAAACCAGTGGCTGCCCTGCTGACAGACAGGAAGAAACACTGTGAGAAACACTCATCAAAGAAGGGTCCACCAGGAACCTAGACGTAAAACTGAATTAAGTTGGTGTATTTTTTCCACAATGTCATTTTAGAACTTGAATTCTTGAAAAATGTGACTGTTTGCTTTAATACCTTTTGTTCCGGCTCTGACTTCTGGTCTAGTTCTGGCTGCTGTTCAGCAGCTCTGGGGTCTGAAGGTGTTGAAGGATCAGAGTTAGTCGCCGGCTTTGCTGGGCCGGGGGGCTTGGTCACAGGGCTTGACGGGTTTGCAATCGCCTTCAGTGCCACTCGAGTACCATTAGACACCAACATGAAAGCATCATTGTGGGACTGCAGGAACTACACCAGAAGAGGAAAACAAAATTCAAGAAACTGCACTGGAAACAAACAATTTTCTGGTATAAGACAAATATTGGTATGAGCCCCAAAGAACACCAGCAATCGTTAAAGAACACATAGGAATATCATAAAAACAAAGTACCTTTCCTATGGGGCCATAGTGTTTTCTAAACTTTTTGCTCCAGGAAGAACCAAGCTTATCCATGATTTTCTGTCCCAACTGGTCTGCCAGGACACTCTTTGATGGCTCCTAGTGGACAACATATGAACAGCACCTAATTAATTAACTGGCTGTCCTACTGAGGCAACAAAGAACAAACTATGAACAACACAGAACTCAGACGAAGGAAGCGGTCGCTTCACCTGGGCAATAATAGCAGCGATGACAGACAAAGGGTCGTCTTCTTGTAGTTTTGGCTCACACGTTGGCTTCACTTCCTCCGTGACTTTCTTCTGAGTCTTGGGTTTGCATTCCTCCTCCTGACAAGCAAACACAGAGATGATGCCTGTCCTAATGCACACGTTCAAAAGCTTGCAGGTTGTGATCACTTTTCAAAGTTGCCGACAGTAATGCACATCTGAAAAAGCTGCCACTCTGAGTATTAGCAGTAAAACTAATGACTAAATTTATATATTTCTTATCCTCCTGTTTGCTCGTTTGCTTCTCTCACCGGTGGCTCCCATTGGCCAAGCTGGTCAATGTCCCTGATATAAACATGGTAATGGCCCCCATAGCAGCCTCCCTTATGGATGATCACAGAGAACAGCTCGTAGCAGTAATCAGAGTCCTCTGCATCAGTCTGCAGGAGAGGAATACATAGTTAACTTATCAAGACAACTTGGTGTATCAAAACCTTCCTGGATGATGTTGAGAGTAAGCTCCGTCAGGTACCTCTTCACAAAATGGCAGTAGGTTGATGGTTAAGGGGAAACTGTAGCGTCCCGTCTCCTTGTATCGCTCACATTTGGCAAAGTCAAAGCTGAATCTCAGCAGGGACATGGTCATGAATGGAGGAAGCTTCTTCAGCTTGGCAGACTGAATAAAAGCAAAGGAAGGTGAGAAACAGCACAAAAATGCAATATTTTTTATGTGAACAAGGAAACAAAATGTCAATACAAAGAAGCTTTTAACATGTTTAGTTGTAATAATCCTTTCTACTCAATTGTTTGATGTAAGGCTTAATCAGAAGAGAAAGAACAGGTTTAACAGCTCTTCAGGTTCGCTGTATTTTAACCGTTGTTATTGTGTTGACACAGTCTGAAAGCTGGCACTAACCTTGGCAGCAGTGACCAGCCTGTCGCACTGTGCACAGCGGTACAGGTTACTGCCCTCAAACATCTCTTCCTCCACAAACATGTTCCACAAAGCCTCTTCCAGGCTAGACATACCACAAACACACACCGTCAGGTCCAGGAAGTCCTCCTAAAGAAGGCCCAAAAAAAAACAGAACAGGTGAATTAAGTTATTTTTGTCTTAGCATTTAGTCGTGAGATATATTCCACCAAAACAACTCCAATAACATCAGTCTTCCTAAATGGAGCCACTTCAAAGAGGCAGAGAAACCCTGTACATGTGGACACACCTGTCTCTGGCTGACGTTCCCACACTCCTTGCAGACAATACTGTTGACAATGGTCCCGTGATACAGCTGGTGGATAAATGTACTCCCAGTGGTGCCCACAAGAGAGTGCTCCAACGCACTGAACAGAATCCTGTTCAGCTCCTGCACATCATGCTGATTTGTTCCCTGAGAAAAACAAACACCAGAAGGTTTAAGTTAGGGACAAAAGTCCCAGTTACATTATATGAACCAACATTATTACAGTACATGATATATTGCACTTTTCAAAAAGACAGGTTTTTCTAGAGATCGTTTTCCAGAAAAATACAAGAATGTTGAAATCATTTTCCAGGACATTTGACCCTTTCTCTCGTTGGAAAATGTGTCTATTGTCCAGGTTTTCCAGGACGCGTGGGAACCCTGATGGATCGCTTTTGTACTATTATTGAAGAAATCAATCTATTTCACTGTTTAAGAGAAACACGGAAATATACAAGACTTGTACAGATGAACAAACGTCACCGAAGCAGTAAAATGGTTCTCTCTTTCTTCTAGCTGTTTTCAGCCTTCTATCAGCTCCAGATCCCGTTTAAATCAATGACTGTGTGGACAGTCTTGACCTGGAAAAGGTGGTTTTGTATTGCATGCGCTAAATATCGTGGGTCTGCCTTTCAGGCTGGAAGGTAAATCAATCAGTGAAATAAGAAGTGTAACCCGAGCCTCTCCTTCTCCTCTCCACCGTCAAAGATAACGGACACAGACCTCGCTGCTGTTCCAGCCGAAACTGTTGGTGAGGTTGGCAGTGGAGGCGCTCTGCTGGTCCACCAACAGCAGACTGGCAAACAGTTTCTGTAACTCCAGCGGGATCACTCTGACCTGGGGAGAAAAGAAAGCAAAACATGCGTTTACACTTCACAAATACACACAGACATTACATCTTTGGTTACAGCTACAAGCTATTTACTTTGACCCCTGGTTCTTCTTTGTCTTCCAGACATCCTAATTCCGCTGCTCCCAAACTGAACAGCTCCTCTGTAGAGACACACACAGCAAACAATCAATAACTGTCCTCTGGTTGTGTACTGCACCGGCTCTCCTAAAGAAATGTGTCAGAGATCTGGCCTCACCTCTGAACTCTGGGGTGAACAGCAGCGTCTGGAGCAGAGAGTTGAGGTAGCAGGTCCCCCCTTGGTTCTTTATGCCGCACAGATTGCTTCTTCCTCGGGGCGGAGGTGGCTCGTCTCCCCCCTTCGCAACTCTCCCCCTGGAGGAAGTCGAAGAGAAGCCTTCCTCCTCCTCTTCCTCGAAAAGATTCCCAAACATGCTGTTTGAGTGATTTACTCGGTTTTCTCTTGAGTTTTGCTCGAGCTATGCCGCGTAGTAAATCATGTGTTATCACTCTGGTTTGGCCTCTTGCTATCTCATCTTGGTCTTGCCGAGTTCTCTGTTGACAATGGCCGGGCTGACTCTGAAATAAGAAGACTTCACGGGTCTAAACATAGCGACTATTACCGGATGTAGCATATATGCGTTGGACTTCCAGTTATGTCGGCGATCAAGTTCAACGTTAGCTAGCTTAACGCAATAATAATCGCAAATCAATCGCAGTCCCGACACTGAGGAGCAGCTTGACGGCACACCGAAAATGACACAAACCCAGGCTGTCGGTAATGTTAACGGTCAGTGTCACCACGACGGGGAAATGGCGTCTTCTTACCAAAACTCTAACGACTTCTGACACTGGCTATTCCTTCCTCTGTCCGTCTTAAAACAGATAACAAACAAGGCGTAAATAGAAATACCGTCGGTGAACTGTAGGCAGCCATGTTGTTTTTTTTCTGCAGAAAAGGGAGCGGTGCATTGTGGTACTTGTAGTATTACACTTGGGTAACACGTATACTCAAAATAATAACGGTTGATAGTTTCATTACTTGGTCTATGAGTATAAACATCATTAGTAATGCTTATTTAAATTCCTGTAATGTACTGCCCCTTTATGAAACAGCCATAACTAAAATATGGCAATAGCTTTATCTTATTTGCATAGCAATAAAAAGTACATTTCGGACAAGTCTAGTCTTGAAGTTACGGGGCTTGTAGTATTCTGTAGCAAACCACGGAACAATAAATATTTACGATTGATAGTGCTTACAAAGGATGGCAGTTATGTGCCCATGGCCATGCATACTAATCAAACACCTCACCAGGATTTTGATTAACCACTAAATGACTTACTAGTTTGCCACCCTAAATGCTCCAAATGAACATAGCTGAAGTTCAGCCATTGCACAAACAACTCTTGTCTTGCATACAAACATATTAAATCTGGTTTATTGTAATTTCAATATAATTATCTTAAATATAATTCATACAATGAGTAACAATCACTCAATCTTTTGAGAACACACATTCCACTTAATGGTAATAATCATCAATATTAAATGTTTTTACAGAAAATTAGAAATCTAACAGAAGCTCACTCTCTATTTACTTTACTCAAAGCACACAAATAGAAAGATATATTCCCATAAAGGTCTTGAACTCGTGATATTTGTGTAAAAATTAGGTAAATCAATTATTAACCTAGCGCTGACTATTGATAGTGTGGGCTAAATGTATGCAGGGCTGGTGATTAAACACATTTTTCCTGAAATTTTCTAATTACATAACACCATTCTCATTTTATTAATTTATTTAACTGTTAAATTATGTTTTATGTAATGTCTTAATTGTCTTCCTACATGTCTCCCTAAACACCTTTCAACACTTTCAAAACTTTAAGATAACCTAGGATATAATTCTTGTGAAGAAATAGTAAATCCTTTCAACATACGCCAATATTATTTTAATAGTTCTTGCCTAAAACATTCATATTTGAAGATTTTTTCTCAGAATCACAGTCGTGACCTTAATGGTTGCTACGGCCCTAGCTGTATGTAAATTGAGAACAGGCACAGTATTGTGAAGGCACAAACACACTCACCTTTTAAATATCATTGCAAACATTTTCTTACACAGGAACACACAGACACAGACATAAACAGAGTGAACAAAGCTACATGCACACTCTCGTTTTTTTTTTTGCCTAGTGTGTTTTCAGCTTAAACACTTTGGAGAGAGGTTCTTTGGCACTGGAGTAGATCAGATACGATTCTCCTTTAGAGCTAAAAAACTCCCAGTCACTGCACCCAATCGTTGGGAGCCAATGAACCGGAACAAATCCTTCATATCCCTGCCACCTAAAAACAAACAGAGAAGAGGAATCAGATGAAAGCTGTATTTGCATCTGCTTAACAAAGGCTCTAGACACAGAATTAATTTGTTCCTTGAGCATCGTCACATGTCAAAAGTGCTAGGCTTTCAATAGTCTGGCTCATAGGAGGAAAATAGATCTACATCAGCACTAAATTAGAGGGCAATCAGAATGGATGCATTATTTCACACTAGTGGGGTGTTGCTGACAAGTTGAGTACCTGTAAAGAACGCTGTTGAGAGAGTAGGATTCTCCGTTGAAGGAGTTTGCGACAATCAAAAAATATTCCTCCCCGAGGCTGAAGAACTCCCAGTCCACTGCACTGGAGAGATGGGAATGTATGTGGTGATGACGAGAGGTTGAAATGGCAGCAATATCAGGTTATTACACAGAAAATGTTCTCATAATCTGTCTGTATGTACATACACCTGGCACATCAAAGTGTTTGCATATCTGTACCTATAGGTGACGATATCCTGGAAGCGGACAAACAGCTGCCCATTCATGTCCAGCTCGTAGATGGTGGAGTTGATGGCATATTGACTTGGTCCATTGCGATGGAGTCTGTGTCCATTGGCAACAACTAAGAAGACTCTACTTCCTATTTGAAACATTTCCCAGTCTGTGGCGCAGAATGTCTAGAACATAGAGACAGAGAAGCTGAAAGAAAAACAGCTGAGAAAGTAAGACATGTAAAACAAATGCCAAAATGATATAATTTCACTCATATCTGCTTTTACATGATTAAGTTCCACCTGCCCCAAGGTGCCTCACATCCAGCTGTGGAGTTCCCCTAAATCATCTCCTCATGATTTATTGTGCGACTATCAATGTGTCAACACTCTCTCCTCAATTGTGGCTGTATGATTCACTATCAGCGACATGCCAAAGCACTGCTATCGCTCAAGCAAATCATGGCAAACCGCACACCTCTATTTCTGGCCCCGTGGCCACATGGACACACCCGTTCTTTGCTCCCCATCTCTCTTTCATTACCCTTTTATCTCTCCCTGTTTGTGGTCCCTTCCCTTCTGTGCGTTCAGACAAGACGGGTTTTCATACTTATCTCAAAGATACAGATCTCATCAGAGGAAAATCAAAGCGCAGCTGGGGAGAAGATGAATGGTATATGGAAGTCATGCAGCAAAATGCTATACTAAAGTGCTATTAAGTCTACTCTACCCCCACACTCAAACAGCTTCCGAATTTACCCTGTATTATGGTAAGGTACCAAACTGATGTTTTTTTAAGGTCTTTTCAGGCATTTTTAAGGCAAATTCTGTATTTCTTTTGTCGTTTTATGTTCACCACATACCTTAATTGTCTGGAACACCTGGAAGCTTCCTCTGACCCAAACATAAATGACTGAGTCTACAGAGGTGGTCACTCCATCAAAGGCATTAGCCACCACCAGGAAATGGTACTGTCCCACTGTAAAGAACTCCCAGTCGTAGGCCCCTGAGGTCGGCAGCATCTGGTGAACCTCAAAAGACTTTGTCAACCTGTTCCATTTGTATATCACACTGTCTATAGTGTGATTATTATCCCCTGAAAGACAAACAAGAAAGAGAGAGGATAAACAGGGTAGTTTGATATTTTGTGAGTGTCGTGCCAAGATTTCTAGAAGTAAATAAGTAGTCATTTCATGGATATTTAGTTTTTACCTTGTCTGTGGTTGGCCACAGCGAGATAGGTTTGTTGATTGATGTTAAAGGCCTCCCAGTCCCGTGCACAGTGGGTCTGCAGAGTCTGGAACCGCACAAACTGTTTTCTTCTTTCGCTCCACTTGTAAATCACAGAAATGTCAGTCTCTGATTCTTTTCGCTTGTCTGTTCCTCCGCCAGAGTTAGAGACCACCAGAAATATCTAGATCAAAGTAACAAAACACCGTGAATATCAGCTTGATCCATGTTAACCCATGTCTTCCTTTCTTTCATACCTTCTTGCCCATGCGGAAGTGTCTCCAAGCCAAAGCTCCATATGTGCTGATATTCTGGTAGAGCTGGAAACCTGTGTGGCTCCACAGATACACAGCTGAGCCAGAGGTTGACCTATGAGCCATTGCAGTCATCAGACCCATGCCAGCTACCTGGAACACCTAAAGATTGACGAAAAAATGACCAAAATAAACTTAATTTTGTATAGATATTAAAGACAAAAATATTTGTGTGTAAGTACAGTGAGTATATGTAAATATTCATATTTTACAAAGCTGAAGGATACCTCTACATCATGTGTCTCTGAGCTGGTGGTGAGGACCTGGTGTTCCAACACGTAGTCAAGTCGTTTATGATCTGAGTCGATAAGGAGATGAGAATTTCTTCAATTTTAAACTGAATAAAAACTTGCTCGTGAGCAGATGTTTGGATGTTGGATTCTCACCCTCCAGCACGGTGATCCACACCGTACCGTCGCAGAGGTAGAGGCCTTTCCTGAGCGGATTGAACCACATCTGGCCTTGTACCAGCCCTGAGCATGACCGCTCCAACCCCACTGACACTCGCTCCTCTGTTTCTGTGAGTTCATGATCAAAACACAAAGACAAGCAGACAATCAGTTGCAAGGAAGCAGGAAAACATATATGGCATGGCTTTCACCGTACAGTGTGAAAAGTATTGTAGAATACGTCTGCAAGTTACCATAGGAAGTCACATGGTCATGAACCTCCCTCCCCATGACAGGCAGGTCTAAGAGAAGTGGTGGTACTGACAGAACTGCTAGTTGGGGGTTCGAAGAGGGGCAAATCTGATGGGTGGCATCCGAACCTGGCACCAACACCAGCTGGCGCAACAGACCCTGTGCATGGGGCAGCAGATAACAATCAAAAGAGGTGAAAACATATTAACCGTATGGTTTAGCAGCTTGTCTATCGTGAAAGTTAGTGATAAGGAAATATAAGTCTTACTGAATACAAGCCTTTCCATCTACCCCGACTGCCAATGTGGAATTTCGACCCTTGAATGTTGAGATCTGCGGGGAAAGGCCTGGAGGGAACACTGTTTGCCATAAAAAGACATAATTATTTCTAATAGCTGGAGTAAGTTGTTTTTCCTCTTTGAATATAACTTAAAGACACTGTAAGTAAAGTAGTCTCTTCCATTCTTCTGTTTCTAGGACTGAGACAGGAATCGTATTTTATAGGCACTGTACGGGAGCTGATATGTCTCAGCTTCTGTGCGCCAGAGGCAGTTTCCACTAAAAAAACATCCATCACATACTGTCATGCCACTGTGATACGGCTGCAGGGTGTGAGCAGATTGGAACGGGGCCATTGTATTGTGGTGAAGGATCTACTATCCCTCAAGGGAATTCAGAGGCCACAGGAAGAGAGGATGGTAGGAGACAGACAGTGAACATGCAGAAGACAGAGACGAACAAGAATAAAAACGTGAACTTACATTTCCAGGGGTGTGCTGCAGTCCACTGTGAGCCTGACATGATGACTACCAACACCTAAAACCAGAGTGTGCCACTGGTTGTCATCCAGTCCGGCGCCTCGAAACACCCAGCGCTCTACGACTCCTCCGTGACCTCTAAAAAGAAAGTGCAGACGTTTTTTGGAGAACCTCAGTCCCAGGATGACCCGTCGACGTTCTTCATTCTTCTCCCTCTCTCCATGTCGTTCTTCTTCACCGACAGTCCTCTCTTTATTCTTTTCCAAAATGTACCCTTTGTCGTTCCCCTCTTCCTCCTCCCCCACTCCTCTTTTCTCTACTTGCTTTGGCTCCATCAAGGAAAAGATGTATTCATTTTTCTGGAAGGTAAAAGGCGAAAAAAACATTCAGACACACTGTATTCAGCAGGGGTGGAAAGTAACAAAGTATATTTACTGAAGTACTGCAGAGCTGCAACAATAAATCGATTAATCAAGAAAATAGTCCACAGATTCAATAATAAAACAATATTGTTAGTGGGAACTCTTACTTGTAATTTACTGACATATTTCAACATGTTACTCCTCTACTACATTTTTAGAGGGAGATTTTGCTACTGCTTCTACATTACTACTCAGAAGTTTTAAAAACTAAAGTGCATTGTTAGATAGTAAATAAAAAATAAAAATAAAATATGTAATGAGCAATTTTAATAGATGTTTTAAGTACATTTAGTTGAGATTCCTTCCGTAGCCTACTTTACTTTTACTTTAAATACAATTTTTAATGCAGGACTTTAATTTGTAAGTATTTTCTCACTCCGGTATGGTGCTTTCACTTCAGTAAAGAGTCTGAGTACTTCTTCCACCACTGGAATTAATCGACAAACTTGGAAGCTCACCTTGGGGGCAATGCTAGTGACTTTTAGTGTCACAACAATGGAGAATTCTTTGGGGAACAGGTCGCAGTCCACCAGCAGCTGGGAGGAGGGAAGGCTCATCGAGGTATGAGGGCTTGAGAAATGCACACCCCTCACCCCTCCAGCCTGCTTCATGTGCACCCCTGCTATGAGTTTGGAAGAGTCCCTCTCGAGGACAAAAGACAGAAGATCCAGAGGGAGCAAATCTGGAGACAATAAGCAAATAAAGAGGTCGGGAAGATTGCTTTACTGCTTAAGCCTTTAAATGCAGAATATCCTATACTATTAACCAGTTGTTTCTCTCTAAAGGAGCCCTGATATTAAAGGGATAGCAAAAAAGTATCAAGATTATCTGCTACCCAAATTACGTAAATTTTTCAGATGTTTCTGCAAGTTTCTAAAAAGTATTTAAAGTTAATGGGAAATTTACTCATAGGAATTGGTGGAATGTTTGTGTATTTACTCAAGTACTGTATTGATGTACAAAGTACTTGTTCTTTATTTCAGTATTTTCTTTTCATGCTGTACTTCATACTTTTACTCTAATACATTTCAGAGAGAAATATTGTACTTTTTATCAACTATATTTATTTGATAGTTTAGTTACTTTACAAATCAAGATGTTTGCATACAAAATGTAAGTATTATATAATATGATGCCAATAGAATATACAAGTAAAGCTGAAATTGTTAGTCAGTGAAATATATCATCAATCTGTTCCATGAAAAATCTTTTAAATGACAATAATTGTGAAGGTTTCACTTCGGGCTCTGCTGGACAAACATTTCTCACCATCTACTGAATTTTTACAATCCAAACAACCGATTATTTAAGGAAAATAATCTGCAGATTAATTCATAACAAAAAAATAGATTTGTTGTTTTACGGTTGTATGCCTCTGCCGACCAGTGATGTTGCAGTTTAGACATCAATGTCTGTCCAAAATGTTATCACTTAATTACTTCATCCTGTTAGACATTTGTGTGAAATTGTCTTAATTAGCATATGTGTTATGGCAAAAACTGTGTTTTGTGAAGTCACAGTGACCTTTGACCACCAAATCAGTTCAACCACGAAGCCAAGTGGACGTTTGTGCCGAATTTGAAGAAATTCCTCAAGGCATTCCTGAGATATTGCATTCACAAGAATGGGATGTACGTGTGGTCACAAAAACATTGACCTCTAAATTCTCCACATAGATGCTTGTGCCAAATTTGAAGAAATTCCCTCCAGGTGTTGCTGAGGTATTGCGTTCACGAGAATGGACCGGACATACGAACGGACAACCTGGCTGCAGCTGTTGCCGACACCGTGGCATAATAATCATTTAGTAGTAGCAGCCGTGTAGAAACTTTTACTAAAGTAACAGTACTGTTACAGTGTGGTATTAGTACTTTTACTGCTCATAGGTTGAAAACAAAAAGCAGTCATAGCTTTGCTTTTAAGGGGACACACCTTAAAAAGTTTGAGAATACCTGCTATAAACTAATAAATCAATTAATGACATGGCATGCTGGACTCCCTGATGTGTGAGAAAGAACCCTGGGTGGCTAAAGGAGATTTTAGGAGGGGTTGTATAAAGAAAGAGGCTCTTTGAACAGCAGGAATAACAGAAGAGAATTGCTCTGAAATTGATGAGACATCTAATCAACATGCACCCTGTTTATCCTGATACTCTTGATGTGTTCTGGAATCCTAACCACATCCAATGTCTGTACTTGTTTGTGGATATCAATTTAAGTTAATATTGCACTCAATACTGCACACACAAACACTCCCATTGAACTGTAAGCAGACACAGACAGTTGGAATTATCCAAAAGAATTTTAGCTGGAGGGGTTTCCCAGGTTTTTAGATGAAACCGTAAACCATACACTGAATAATTGTTAACTGAACATCAGATCTGTTTAAGTGAGCTGAAGCAATAGAGACGAACGCTCAGGTTGAAAGGCGCAAAATAAAATAAAAGGGTACGATACCTGTGCAGCGTCTCCATGTGTCTGCGGTGGTGTCAATGGCCCTTAACCCCAGGAGCAGGAGGTGCACGAATATGAGCAATGTCATCACAAAAAGCCTGTTTAGTTCAGTTGCCAGCTGGTGCAAATGTCTCCATATTTCTGTGTCTTGCTCCTTTTGTCTCTATCTTAAGTGACGATACAAACCAGACAGCCGTGTTTTCTTCATATTGATCCAAGTGAGTATTTTTTTTTAGATCCAAAGAAAAATGTCCAGTCAACAAACTCTGTTTAAAGTTATCAAAGGCTATACTGGCTACCTAAGATTCACAAACAGAAGAAGAGAATACCTAGAGCTGTGATTCCTCTATGCTTCGAGGAGGAATCCATTCATCTGTGTGGAGAATCCTGCACCTGCAGCTCCTTTTAAACACCAGAGCCATGCAAATCACCAACCAGCCTGTCACTCATCCTCCCTCAACCGCCTCTGATGACACAGACCTGCCAGAGGGGTAAGCTGCTCCACTTGTAGTCGGTGTGTGTGTGTGTGTGTGTGCTCACGTACACACCGACTGAGTGACACACAAGCGGACTATTTTAATGTAATAATATAGGAAAAAAATCTCTCAGACAGATTCCTCCAGACATTCACGACATGAGAGGCCTTAGCAGACAAAATGTAATTAAAAGCCATCCTAAAAACAACAACAGAACATATGTGACCTTTGGTCCACTAATGGATAGATGGATATGAGCGGCGCTATTATCATATTAGCTGTTATCCCATAGTTTATTACCTGAGAAACCGTGGTATGTGCATGAACCCAGCTGTGATATTAAAGTATCAAAAAAGGATGTTCTGCAAATATCACCAGTTGAAAGAGTAATGAAGTCCCAGGGCAGTGACATTAGGAAACACTGCAACGGCAAAGTAGTAAAAGGGTCGATTTGGCAGAATGGCTAAATAGCAGGAGATGGCTTTTGAATACAAAGTTTTGGTTATCCATGGGCACCCAACAATTTAATACCACTTCTAAGTATATGTGACTCTGGTTTGTTGGTTACCGGGCACTCGTGAAATAATCAGACTGTGTTTTGATAGACGTCGGCATCTTGTGTGGTGTCAGATCTCTCTGAATCCTCTGATCCTCCGACTGGCACATTTACAAGGCAAATACTCTTAGCCTCTCTCTTCCTCTCGTCCACATTAAAAGCAGAGACTGCACACAGATCAGGAGGCAAGATAGAAACTCGGCCTGACTCTTCGTTCTCTATCCATTCATTAATCTTTCTTCCTTCCAGGCATAGAGTTTCAGAAGGACCTGTTGAGATGCAGATAAAGTGAATGTAGATGTCCACTCGTGCGCATGTTCTTCCTTATTCCTGCTTTGACTCACCAACTGCTGCTATCAGTCTTATCACTGTTCCAGTTGTGCTGAATGTAACCATTCAGTCAGCGTGTCAGATGAGATTTAAGATTCTAATTCAGGATTTCCTGGAAGTGATTTTAAATAATTATCAGACTTAATATAACATCTTTTTTTTAAGCCTGCTTCTTTCAATGTAGTGACCCTTTGTCTCTCAAGGTGACGTCTAAAATACATTTGCGTTTCAGGGCCCTTTGGAAATAAGTAGTTCTAACTTTGGTTTTGATCCAGTGTCATTATTCAATTCTATGCAGAATTCTTTTATCACTTTTGTATTTGTGCACAAGTGTGTTATGTGGAGGATAACCCAAGTCAGACAGACGCATGAGACTATCATAGTTAACTGGCACCACCTAGCTGTCTATTTTCTTCAGTACTTGGGCATACAGTACATGTTTAGCAGACAGGGCCTCCGTGGGAATTAAAACCTATATAAATGGGGCTTTCCAAAGTCTGTAAAAAGTTAGAAATCAACATTGAAATTCTGAACGGTGAATCAACATGTCTTCAACCACATACAAAATACATTTCCGCCTTTTAACTTATTGTTGACATTATTACATTATAAGCATTTAATTGCATTTTGAACACGCAACCTCTTCAAAAACCTAAATGCACATGTTTAAAATATAAAACTATATATATCACACAGCAACTATACAGAATTCAATGACGGCCATTTCCCGTTATGGCAGGTTCGGATGAAGACGGGAAGGAATCTCTTCCAGCAAAATGAGCAAAGGCTTCTCAGTAACAAATGAATCATGTACTGTAAGCACATCAAGTGGCAGTTACTGTAAGCTTGATGGAGCCAATCCCAGCTGACATTGGGCAAAGGCAGGGTTCACCCTGGACATCGCAGGACTGACACATAGGGACAGACAACCACTAGCAATTAAGAGCCATCAATTAACCTTTTTTTAATGCGGATAGTTGTAAAGCATTATAATAAACATTTAAATTCTTGACCAAATTTTAGATACACAAATTCAAATCAATGATGCTCGCGACAGCAAATCTGAGTACCAAACTATATTTATTGTATACAGTAGTAAAAGACCACAAATAAATGTACAAATCAGTAGAGAAACAAACATGACAAGACGTGGGCCCCGTTCTTCGTACATTACATGGCTTAGCTCGTATGTTAGCCAGCTCAAAAGATCCCAGTCAAGCTGTTGTTAAAATGCAGGTGGAAGGCTGTCTTGATAACTGTGCTCTTATTTTGCGAGACTGGAAAGCTAAAACCAGGATCGTTACTTGTGACTGGCTTGTGCAGAGAAATGTCTTTGAGTGATCACTCACAGGTTTAGCACATCTATGAAACCATTTTGTCTCATGCTTGATGTTAATGACAATGATGAGATATGGGTAGTCCTTAAATGTAATTTGATATTTATTGGGGCCAGAGTGGAATATTTCAGCAGGTGGGAGTACAGTAAATTATTTTTGTAACATTCATGTTGAATATTGATTTGGGAAAAGCTCACAGTTCACCAAAAAAAAAAAGAAGGTTTGATTTATCCTGTAAAATGGCATTGGTTGTATTTTGTTGTACTTAAATATGTAAGACTGCTTCATTCAAACCTCGTTCAGGGATGACACTTCTAATCAGTCAGTGTCTCCGAAGATGTCGCCTCATCTGAAAATAAACTAAAAAGAGTCGTCATGATCCAACTCACTCTGAATGAAGTTGCACCGTTGCAGGATTTGAGCGCAAGGACTACTTACTTTAGCAGCAGGACATCCTGACTGAAGTGAAAAATCCAAGCTCATGTCTGGCCGTCAATCAAATGAAGCCAACTCTTATCTACGTACAAAGAACGGGGCCCCTGTGGGTACAGGACACTATTCTCCCAACTCCATTGGTTGGCCTCCCTGCCCTCCCCGATATGCAACAAACTGCATGCATCCTAGTCTGAACTGTAACATATTGAAGACACTCGTCACCACTTGGGATCTCCCCGTTTACCAGCACTGCAGTCAGGCTTTTAAACAAACGGCCCCAAACGTCTGTCTTGCGCACACAACGAAACGGCTTGGCAGTTGACGTAGCAGTGAAAAGTGTCTTCAAAACGTGTTAACATAAACATACGGACTTTTGTTGGACATCTCAGCTCAACTGGAATCAGCTTCTCTTCAAAACACATGTAGGATCAGTTGTCCCATCAGCTTACATTCGCAAGGACAATACAGAGATGAGACAACTGACCCCAAAAACAGTCCTGCCCACAGCCCACCCACTACTTTAACTCCCCAAAATGTAAAACCCACAAGCAGAGCCACTTGTAAGAATACCATACAGGACTGGCCACTGGCCCGCTTCATCAGAAAACAAATGTATTGTACATCAAGAGACTATCTTACACAGCCAGACCCTTACCATCTCAACGGATAAATTAAATTCCCCTCCCCGAAATAGGAATAGTCTGGATGAGCGAATACAAGTCTGTACCACGGATACCCACAACTGTTCTCAATTAGTAGAAGTCAAAAAGGAAGCAAATAACATCAATGAATACAAACTCCTTTAAAATGTGACGGTTTTGACCTTGCAGTTTGCTTTTAGAGTGATCCAAGTACATCAAATATCAAACAGAAGTTCGGTCTTTGGAGTATTGGTCCAAGCAACCCAACTTTTATCTAACGCTCACTCTGATACTTCTGTACAGGAAAAAACCAACAAGCTCTCTGGTTGTTAATTGTTAAAAGAAAAATCAAAAAAATACAAAATCATTGCAGAACTCTTTAGCAAAAGCACCTAAAATGTAGAGAGAATTAAAATACCTTTTTGACAGAAGAGCAGGAGCCACCGGTCAGACAAAAAACACATTAGAGCGAAGTGAAATGGAAGGCGCCTGTATGTATTAAGTTCAGATAGTGCTTCCACTTCAAACCATTTTCACGCCCACTGACTGTGACCCCCAGACAAAAAAAAACAAAAAAAAACTGGCAGAGCCTCGCGTTTGACCACGATGGATGAAAACCTCGACAAACTACTGGATACTAAGCTTTCACTGGAGAGCGAATGAGAAGCGCTGACAAACCAGGAACAGCTGTGACGTGCTGTTGGTCCAATCACAGCCTGCGTTGCCAGAAGGAAATGTTGTCCCGATTGGCTGTTGACACGCACAAAAGTTCAGTCCTGGCTGAGACAGTACATAAACAGCTGAGGAGCCCCCTCCCCCCACACACCTGACGAAAAACCATGACAGACATCTTGAAACGGAAGAAATAATCATTATTATTATTATTACAATGATGATAATAATAATAATAATAATCATAGGCTGAGAGGAGCGATGGGGAGGGACAGTGAAAGTGGCTGAGGGCGTGGTCTGAGGGTGGCCGTCAATGAGGTGGGGGAGGGCTTAGCAGTGCCCGCCTGTCTGCTGCTGGAAAACATCTATGGTGTCTTCATCTTCCATCTCCAGCTGAGAGAAGCAGAGGGAGAGAAATTGCAGTTAGTGGATGTAAACAACAACTGAACGGGTAAAATAATGCAGAGACGGAAGTATAAAGCTCTCATTTAAGACAATGATGCTGAATGTTAAAAGAAAGTGTCTATATAGGCACCTTTAACGTTTTACCGTCACGTAGAAAGCTTGTTTCTGGCTAGATATAAGGGAATATAATGGTGAATACGATCTTACCTGTGCAGGTGTATCCGTCTCATTGATAGGCTGGCCATCAAACCTGAACCTGATCTGCCGTATTGCGAGGCCCTGCAGAAGCGACAACAGACATGAGGGGTGAATGAAAGGATTTTTTTTAGGACAGTCGTCGCAAGGTACAGTGTGCAAGTCAGGGTGACGCTGTCTGAGGTGCAACAGCAAATACAAAATAATTGCATGTTGTCGGAGAGGAAAGCAGTCATTTAGGCTTTTCGGCTCACCTGTCGGTCACAGTATGCCTTCATTAGCTTGCTGAGCGGTGTGTGTCTTTTGATTTTAAACTGGACCACCGACCCATCTTGCCCTGCAACCTTGAGGTTGATGTGATCGTTCTCGGTCTTTACTCCCTCCTGCAAGAGACAAGCGCGTTTAACACAATGATACCACAAACAGTCAGGAGCTTATACAACAGTAAGAGATACAACACATTTAAAAAAAGAGCACTATTAGACAGTCAAGTAGTAACTTAGCTGTTACCAGACTTCAGGCTGCAAGCCTGTAACTTTAAAAAGACACAGTGTGGTGAAGGAATCCACTTGTTTGTAGATATTTGAACCAAAACCAACTCATTAAACAGAGTAATGCATGCAGGGTACATTGCTTTAGTCACAGATGCTAACGTTAGCATGATTAGCTCCAGCCCTTTAAGACCACTGCTGAGTTTAGCTGCCGGCTAACGATGCTAACGCTTTTGTTTTGTTGTGCGGAGGCAAAAAACAAGCGCAGCCACGTTACAAACGGCCACAAAAGCACGGCTACTTTGATTGTTTTATATGCGTTCGTCTCCTCCTATTGGCGCTCTTTTGCCGCCGTTGCAGTTGCGGAATTTGTAGCGTTGCGGACATAACGTGGTGCCGTTTTGACAAAGAAAAAAAAAAAATCCGCAAATGACAATCATGGTGTGATTGTCATTTATGCTCACAGTCTTCGATACTCTAGTCAGTTGGACTGATTATCTACTCGTGCTATCTAACAGAGTGCTGTGTGAGGGCAGGTAAATGTAAACGGCTGTGCGGGTACTCATTCATTTGCGAAACAAACACTGCGCCGATTCAGAGAAACGTGCAAACCAGGCCATTTTAGATTGCACATCTGAGAAACGGTTTGGCAGGAGCTCGACTCAGCCATCTCTTCAAATCTACAGCTCTCTAAACCTTTATCTTACCTTTGGCTTTTCCTCTGACATCTTGGCTGTATTTCGTGTGTGTGTGTTTTCAGGATAATCGGTTAATTGGGCAGTATTTGTCTTTCCGCCGCCTTCTGTCCTCTCCTTTCCTCCGCTGACGGGTACGCGCTTTGGACCGAAGTTACACACACACGATTGGATCTGGGGGAGACCACGTGACGACCAAACCGCGGGAGCGCGGAAACGGGGGCGCGCACCAATGCAAAATACTCGAGCACGCGGACAGAATAACCTATGATGGTTAGTATTGTATCAACACTTCTGAACACTCGTACTTCGGCATGCGTTTGTGGTAAATTAGGTGTAAAAACACTTACAAACGTAAAACTTAAAAACACTTAGAAATAACGTTGAATTAAGTCATGAAATAAAATCCAAACATGAGGTTTGATACCCCCCAACTGCTCTGACATCAAACAACCACCTACACCCCTTGCCTCCTCCTCACCTCTCCCAAACGACCCCCCACCGGCACTGAGGATCTGTGAAGAGCATGTGAGTCGGCTCTTTCACAGACAGAAGATTAGGAAGGCACCATGGCCCAGACGGTGTGTTCCCCTCCTGCCCGAAAGTCTGTGCTGACCAGCTGGCCCCCATCTTCATGCAGATCTTCAACCGATCACTGGAGCTGTGTGAAGTCCTCTCCTGCTTCAAACGCTTCACCATCATCCCAGTCCCCAAGAAATCCTCCATCACAGGATTAAATGACTACAGGCCCGTCGCCCTGACGTCTGTGGTCATGAAAGACTGGTGTTGACCTGAAGAACATCACAGGGCCCCTGCTGTACCCCCTGCAGTTTGCCTACCAGGCAAACAGGTCGGTGGATGATGCAGTCAACATGGGACTGCACTACATGCTGCAACACCTCGACTCCCCAGGGACATACGCAAGGGTTCTGTTTCTGAACTTTAGCTCAGCGTTCAACACCATCATCCCGGAGGTACTTGAACCTAAACTCTCCCAGCTCACTGTGCCAGCCTCCACCTTTCAGTAGATCACAAACTTCCTCAGGTGAGGCTGGGAAAAATCACATCCAGCATCCGGACTATCAGCACTGGTGCCCTTGTGGGATGTGTGCTCTCCCCACTGCACCTCAGAGGACCCAACTGTTAGACTCATGAAGTTTGCAGACGACACAACGGTTATCGGCCTCATCAGGGACGGTGATGAGTCTGCATGCGTACAGACAGGAGGTTGAACAGCTGGTCGTCTGGTGTGGTCAGAACAACCTGGAGCTGAACAAGCTCAAAACTGTGGAGATGACAGTCGACTTCAGGAGGAGAGCCCCCAACACTACCCCCCTCCCCTCACCATACTCAACAGCACTGTGTCTGTGGTGGAGACCTTCAGGTTTCTGGGATCCACAATCTCCAAGGACCTGAAGTGGGCCCCCAACATCGACACCATCAGGAAAAAGGCCCAGCAGAGGTTGTACTTCCTGCGCTAGTTCAGGAAGTACAACCGGCCTCAGGAGCTGCTGATCCTGTTTTACTCCTCTATCATCCAGTCTGTTCTCTGCTCCTCTATCACTGTGTGGTACGTACGCATACATGGCCAATAAAGCTGATTCTGATTCTGAATACCTCGATCATTACACTGAAGCTTTTGTGCCATATGGTATTTTAAAAGTACCATTACAGCTAAATTGTAATCAAACAGATTGAAATGAGTTGACTCCTCATCAACCCCTACTAGTGTCTAATGTCTATAATCAGATCAAGGCATTTCATTAAAAAAAACAATATAGTAATTTGTAATCACTGATGTGTCAGCAGTTTCCTTCAGTGATAGTTACGGTATTTGTTCATTTCCTTTGGTAATATCAATTGCTTCTTCGGAAAAATACAATTCAGCATTGTCAAATCTTTGAGGAAATTCACTAACCCATTATTGCCTGGTGATTTATTTTGTTATATATCAGATAAGATCAGGATACATTTTGACATAAAATATCACAAATGCTGTTGGTATAAAATGTGAAAATACAAATGTTCTTTACCTCATACAGCAGGTGTAAAACCTTGGAGTTTTAATCAATGAACTTTTACTTTTTAATAACCCAAAATACAAAATTTAAGGAAGCAGTTTTGATTTTAATAAAAGCACAATACAGGCAAAACACAAGCAATAAAAGTCAAGCACTAATTAAATAATTATTCCAGTCTTTTATTTGGCTTGAGTGCCTTTACAAGACACACCAGCAAATGTAGAATCACGCAAACTCATACAAATGTAGGATCAACACATTCAATAATCAAGAATTTAATGATTACTTTATAAATTACGGAAGAAGGGTTGAAGATTTATTAATTTCAGTGAAACATACAGCAGTACCACAAAAAGAAGGGATGAGTCAATTTGGAACAAGAGAAAAAAAATCACAAAGTACAAAAATAGGCTATAATTTTCTAAGTTTATCTCTAAATCAGCAGCAACTCATCGGAACAAAACAGATTTGCAGATGAAACAGATTTTAAGAAAAAAAAGAAAGTTGGTCCTACAACTGAACTGGATTATTTTCCATTCTGTACAGTTAAACTTAAAAGTTAACCCTAATAAATAGTATTAGCCACAGGATAGACTATTATAGTATTGAAGAACACTGCGGCCATAGCTTTTGGTTACAGCTTCTTAGGTCATCACACAACATTCCTGTTCATTGGCTGGAGGAAGCCAGACGAGCCTGTCTATATAGCTATATCTATATCTATATCTAGATAGATAGATATACACAAAACAATTGTCACTTTTCTAAAATTGTATGAGTTATAGTTTAAATAAATTCTCATGTCTACAAGACATGTTGTTGATGTCTGTTGCGTGAGAGGTCAGAGTTCAAGGAAAAACCCAACGGTCGTGGTGTAAGTCCTCTCATGCAAATTTGGAGTATGGATTTTGCCCACTTAGACCTGGAGAAACAACACAATCAGTGGAGTCATACATTCATTTAAGAAAGTAGTCTGAGATTATGGGGAATATTGTTTTCTTACTAAGAGTTAGAGAAGAGGATGTGTGCCATTCTCATGTCTGTCAGTTAAATGTGACGCTACCAACAGAAGCTGGTTAGCTTAGCTTAGCACAAAGACTGGAAACAAGGGGAAACAGCTAGCCTAATGCCACCGTTGGTGACGTCAAGTGTGTGACCCCAGGGAGTAACTTCACCGCAATATGTCTTTTTCACACTTTGTTTGTTGTGAGGATTAAACAAACATAATATAACGTCTTAAAATGTGATATTTAAAGGTGGACTTTGTTACTTTTTTGACGGATCCAGGATAGCTGTTTCCTAAACTATGCTAAGCTACGCTTACTGGCTGCTGGTAGCTTCATATTTATTATAAACTTGTAATTCTTCTCATCTAAGCTTTGGTAAGAAATCATACAAGCGCATTTTCTAAAAAGTCTATTTGTTTAATAACCTCTGTCGAGTGTAAACCAAAAAGACATAGTTTAATCTCATTTTGCAGTTTTTAATGAATTATTCCATCAAAAGTCCAGAAGCCCATATTTAGCATTTAGGAACAGAAAAATATATTTGCACTATGTTAGTATGTGCACATGTGTATGAAAAAGTGCATTAGCAAGAGAGAGCGCTCACCATATTTCTTCCTGATATCGTCATGTCTCTCTTTCATTTCTGTCCTCCTGTAAGGACAAAGCATTCTTTTCTGAGCGACACAGTGACTGATAATATTTATCACACTCCTAAAAGTCACGTGGTCATAAACCAGTTTCGATTGGTAACAGTTTGACGTGTGGTTTTGTGGTTTGCTATGAAGGAAACTGATTTGGATCATGAAAAACAATGCAACATGGGCAGTTAGTGTGTCAGGTGTCCCGTAGATTGCATAACATAAGACTATTAAGAGACTACCTGAGAGCAGTAACACAGGGGAAATGTTAACATGTGCATAGACCCAGACAAGCCAAATATGGACTTGTAGTTATTCAGCTATTATATTAAAGTATCTTTTGTGTATACATCTCTTTGTGAATACATCTACTGTATATTGGTTATTCATACTGTAAGGTCAAGTACAAACAAATGTTATAAATCACTGCTGAATTATAGAGGTTGGCTGAACTGATCATCAACTGATAACTGATATCAGAAAATAAACATCGGTCGGGCAAGGGAGGGAGCAAGCTCTGTGTCATGGATACACCTTCTTAAATACAGCCTATGGGATAAACCTGTACGTCTTCCACGATGGGAGAGCTTAGAAAATCTGGTGGCAGTGAGCAGAGGGGTCGGATTGCGTTTATAGTGCATCGATGCACCGCTGGCAAGTTTCAGTTAAGATGCAGCCTGATATCAGACTGAATTGCTTTCATGTTTCACATCGTTATCAACAATTTCAACTGCAAAGTTAAGTCCAGCTTGTGCATCTGAAGTGGGGATGGACGATGTCTCTTGGAACATCTTTCTTCACAGATGAACTAACTGTAGATAAAGATGCACTCACAAAAGAAGAAACCAGGTCAGGCTGGAGACTTGTGTTGCGTTCACGAAGCATTATTTTTCTCACCTTTCCTCCTGCTTGGTTCTTGTCTTATTGGCCCGTTTCTCCATCTTGGCCTCCGACCTTTTGGATCTGACACACAACCACAAGACCAAAGTTAGTGTTATTGTTGTATAGGTCACAAGAAAGTGCACAGTTTTTTTGTTTCAAACACAGAAACCTTAAGGAAACTACACCAAAGCTGACAGAAATGTACAGTATGTGGCCATATTATCTTCACGTGACTAGACGGAAAGGTCTCTATATAGTACGCACCGATCATGATCACATATCATTACGACATGACACAGTGACAAAGGTAGTCATCCGACAGTAAGTTCTTACTCCGGCCTTAAACACGGCAAACCATACTTAAACCATCTGGGACAATAAGTGTGTACCTAAAGTTAACCACTTTTAACTATATTTATAGAAACATAATTGAAAGGTTTTGAGTGAGAGAGATGGGATCAGAGTTCAACATGCAACAACCAGGAAGCAGTTTAACCACAAAACCTGATACACATCTAAATAATTCAAGTATTTACTGTAGATACGTTTTTACTTCTCACGGAATCATTCTCATTGGAATACATTAACTAATTTTACTAAAAATAAGTTGTTTTTTTGTTATTGTAAGTGTGTATACTATTATTTTATTCATGCCTCGTGTCTAATGACAGTAGAACAATTGCAGACACTCTAACAGACAGGTTACAGTTGTCCTTTAGCAACAAGACATAATAAGTAATGTCGGAGCTTTTTACTTTACCAAACGTTCCTCATATAAGTACTCTATGAATGGAGTTGCATTCATACAATCACTTACCCGAAGTTCTCACACTTGCAGCAGCAGAACAGGCAGACCAGGAAGGCGATGATGAGAATTCCACCCAATACTGCCAAGGTGATTATCAACGTCTGGAAGTTCACTGCAGACCGAGACAGAGAAACACAATGACAAACTATTTTCTAACCCTTTTTTTTTTTTTTTTTGCTTTTCTCCCTGGCATAGTCACTCTAATCACTCTAATCACACTAATCTTTGTATGTACATTACAAGGTGACTATAATTGACCGGAGCACTTTTGACCACTTGTAATGTTGTTTGATTGTAATGTTATTCTTAGAAGATCTGAAAAGATTTGTTTATTGATTGACAGAAAATGAATCAACAACTATTGTTTTGGAATTGATTAATAATGTAATTCATTTATAAACAGTTTCTCAAATGTGATTTGCTGCTTTTCTCTTATATTTATATTTCTATCATTTTAAATTGATTATATTTGGCGCATGCACAAAATGGAAACATTTAGATAATATATCATAACGGTACCTCAAAACTAATTATAAAATAATTAGTTATTTGTGTAATGAAGTCTTTATTTATTTGATGTAATTCTGTTTCTCTTGCCATGACTTTTTAAGAGAGGTCTTTGTGTCTATGAGCTTTAGCTTCCGACCTCTCTTCCACAAGATTTTGTGATGAATGCATATCTGTATATGTTGATAAAATTGTGATATATATGTGAATCTATTTGTGGATCTGTGTGTGTGTGTGTGTGTGTGTGTGCGCTCTCTTACTCCAGCAGAGCCCCCAGCGTGCTTCATTCAGTGGACAGAGTGCATGGGGTGGAAGGATGGTCTTAACTGGATACATTACACACGACTTGGTTGTGATGCACCACAGGCACTGTAAAAACACCAAAACACATAATCATCTCTATACTAATATAATTTATGGTAAGGTATTTAAGTCAATTATAGGATACACACACACACACAAAGTAGAAAATGGAGGAGGAGGGTTGGAATGAATGACAGATCAGTTACTCCTCAAACCAGTCTAACAGGTGGGGAGGTGGAGGAGGAGCCACGGGCTATGGTTCCTACACCTAGAACACTTCTTTTTCCATCATGCATACACACACACAAAGGGAAATCAACCCCCCAGGATTTACCGTCACATTTCGCAGACATTCCTCACAGTTTGTCGCATTCTTCGCCTCACAAGCTGTAGGGGGGGGAAAGTCAATTTAGTTTTAACACCCAAAATCATCTGCAAAGTGTAAATAAGGGAGTGAACTCAGTCAACATGGAGGTCCAAACATGTTGCTTCACAAGAGAAAGTCTCTAATATAAGCTGAAAAACACCATGAGAAGCAGATTAAATGTGGCCTATCTGGCCTGTGCTCACTGGGGTAACTACTGCTAATCCTCCTGAGGCATTTTCCATGGAGACACAGCGCAGTAAACACAGGCTTCAGACCAGTCACGGTATTATCAGCAGACTGCACAGTACAACAGCTTGGTTTGTCTAATTGTGTCTGGCAAATTAAAGTGTAAACAATGTCTCTTTCTTATGCAGTGTTTCTTATTGTGAAACAGAAAACCTGAGGGGGGTTGTGACCTAGAAGAGACGTTGTTCCTGCTGAGAGGTTTAAACAATACACAGAGATACGAAACTAACAAAGGCTCAAGGATATCACTGTTTATCTTGCCTTCATGTGTAGCTGAAATAACCTTTACCACAGATTTTCTCAATGATTTTCTCATAAATACGCTTAAACCAGAGGATAAAAACAATGGCTTTTAATTCAGGACCAACGCAGCTCAAATAATTTTGGTTGCTTTATGTCCTGTTTTGTTCCTATTATTCAACAGAAAGTGTGAGACAGGTGAGCTAAAACAATACAGTCCTACAAAGAGAAAGATTATTGTAGTTCAGGGCCAAAGAAAAGCTTCACTAAATAAGGTGTGGATTTGTAAAGAAATTAAATAAAATGGAGATGAGTTTTTAGCAGCCATTGACGCCACAGTCACCAGAGTCACTGATTCCCAGTCCTACCTTGGCCAGGTGCGGAAGTCTGAGCGAAAACTGTCGCCAAACCGAAGAGAAGCAGGAGAGCAGCGGGTAAAATCCGCGAATCCATCATCGCACCACTTAGACGCAGATTATTCCAGAGGGGTATTCTTCAGACTTTCCGTCTGAGAAAACTTTTTAAAAACCCGTGAGCGCAAAAACCGGAAATGTTTTGGCTGCTGAAACTCAAAAAATGAACTGGCCGAGAAGGAACCGAACGCTGAATCCTGACGCACGCTCAATACGCACCAAAGACAAAAGGGAAGAAGGCGTGTGTGTGCGTCTGTGCAGTTGTTCCTTAGGCAGTAGGCTACTGTTCTAGATACTAAAGTAAACCACGTCAGCAATATACAAAATACTCCATTACAAGTAAAAGTCCTGCATTCAAAATTTAAAAAAACTTATAAGTATTATTAACAACATTAATAGTCAAGTTAAAAGTTTGGAGAAAAAGGGCTTCTCTAATTTGCCTATATATTTATGAGAGTGGTATCAATGTTCTCTCTGTCAGAAAGTGAATAGGCTTTGCGTATTTCCCAAAATCTCAAACTGTTCCTTTAATCTGTAAAGTAACTATGTTATCTAAACATGGAGGAATGTTAAGTACAAGGCAGTGGAAGTATAAAGTAGCATAAAAGAGAAACATAAATGGAGCTATAGTGCTTAAATGAATGTCAACCACTGTTTGTGTGTCAAGATAAATTCACAAAGACAACATGAAATGGAGGACAATAATTTCAATAATTTATTAAAGCATAATTTTGTAAAGCCAGTTACAAATAAAAAAGAACAACACACATATCTCTCTCTTTCTCTTTTTTTCATAACAAGCACAATGTTTTACTACGTTAATGATGATGATAGTAAGCATAAGATGAGATAAGAATGGGCCCCACTCTGGCCGCCTGCGGCTGATAACAGGACCCGTTGTGATGAAGTTGCCCTTGGAAACTGATTTGCGATCAGAAATCTAATTTCAATTTATTGTTGATTGTTGTTGCTGATCACATTTCAGCAACTACGGGGGCAACTTCTTCCTACTCAGTGTAATATCAGTGACAGACAGAACCATAGATGTAGAATAACTAGAACAGACAGGTTCCTCCTTAATTATGGCTTATGGGTTCTCTGGTTCTCCTCTCATTTTAGCCAAAACTAAAATAAGCTAAAGTTCAAACAGGAACATGTCTGTGAGTTCTGCTTATTCTAACTCTACAGGCAGGATCCCAGTGGGCTGTGTGTATGCAGCCAGGGCCGAAGCTACTGTTGAGGACACCGACGGCATGACCGAGGTAATTTTTCTAGGAATTTTGGGCAATTTAGAAAAAGTGGTAACGGTAGTTTAAGTCCGAAAATGGAAAATGTATATTGGTTGACTGTTCACACTATTTAAGACAATTTTTCATGTGAATACCTGCAGGCCAAATACATAATCTGCAATTTACTCAACAAAATGTTATTTCAGGTAATGTGGGCTTTGAAAAATAAAATCCTCAACCATATCCATAACTGAACCTTAAGAAAAAGATAAAATATGAAACATCCCTTATCATAATAAAATGTTGGTGTCTGATCTAATTTTCTAGAGGGTAGGGGTTGGGTTGGGGGTTGAGGGTCTTGGACTTGTGACCTCAGTATTTCTAAAATCCAGGCTACGCCTCTGAAAGTGGCACCCCAGAATAGACAACGGACAACTTCACCATAAGAAGTTCAACTTCACTTAAGGATCTGGCAAACTGTTTTCAGGGCAAATACTGACACAAAAACTAGTTTAGGAACTTTAGCTAAACCAAATTAGACAATTAATTGGACTGCATTTGGATATTAGACAATTTCCTTTCCCCGTGTTATTCCCACTGAATATTTGATGAAACACTTTGTTTACAAATATGTGTGATAGGGATGCTGCCGTCTCTCTGCAGTGCCATAGAGTCAGGTGAAAGAACAGTGACTTCACTTTCAGTCCAAAAACACACACAGAAAGCAGTGATGACTGCCAGCATTCTCAGTACACAATTAAAACCATCTGAGTCCATATCCTCACAGTGTCTTATCTGCTCCTCTTACACTGAGACTGAAAAAAATCCAATATATTTTTTATACATTATACTCTCAAACACACCTTGCAATACATACAGTACAATTATAATTAAATAACCCCTATAGCCCTAATAATCCCATGCTTTCCCCTTTAACTCACAGCACGACACTGTTCTTTGCAAAGGTTATTCATGTAAATACGTCTTATTTTCAAGGAATATACTCATCATAAACACTTCTTATTTCTCTTTTCTCATTTTCCTTTTCAAACTGTTACACCATAAATACACTCACACTCACAAACTCACACACACACACTCATACGCACACACACACTCACGCGCACACACACACAGCAGCATTCCAGACACAGCACTTCAGGGTGGTTAAGATAGCAGAGGGCATACAGTACAGTAATACTAGTAGTATCAGTAATAAAAGTCACATGTTCATAAACAGGTTGGAAACACAGACGAACTGGAGCTCGCGTTGTTGTTCAAGTCACTGATCTTAATAAAGAAATAAAGTGAGAATAGCATGAGCAGACAAGGATATATAATATTGTATGGCTCCAATTAATGCTGCAGAGTGAGTACCACAGGCAACAACAATGATAAAACAATTCAAACACTGTGGAAACACGACCACCACAGCAGCCCGTCTCATTATAGTCTGTGTTTTTCCTATTCATTTCTCTGTGAGTCACATTAATGGCACAGCCAGTGAATGATGTACAGTGTTGGCATCACATCCGGAAATACAGTGGTCATTATTCACACCATTCACTTGCATGTATTTTACACGAGAGGTCTCACATTGCATTTAGTATGGCATCTATATACTGTACAGTGCAGTGGCCACTGAAAGATTCAATAATAACTCTTATAATGTGTGATATACAGTACAAAACAATACATGTTGGTTCAGTTTATGTGTACATGTATGTGAATATACAGTAGATATATGTAGTGTGTGTTAAATGTAGACATAGATAGGGAAAGGTTTAGACTCATACTATTCTGGTTGATATTGTTCTCCTTGTAGAGCCGAGTGAGGCTGTTAACCATGCACTGACTCTCTGTGTTAAGTTAAAGAGCCTCCAAAGCAAAACCTCTACTCTTTTGTTCTCAAGAATATCTATTTGATATTGTTCAGCAATATTTAAAGCCATTTCCTTTGGCTTTGTCTTCTTCTTGTGGCCACACGGTGGCACTGACGAGTGAGCGAGTGAACACTATGTAGGGCAGGGAGCTCATTGTCCCCTTTAGAAGCCTGAAGAACAATCAGCATCGAATCCTTTTTCTCAGTCATAAACAGATGTGACACAGCTGATGTGAGGGATAAACGACAGAGAGAGAACAACAGAGAGAAAGCAAGCAAGAATTTAGCATAATAACTCAATACCGACAGCAAACAGAGCGGGGACACGTGAAGAAAAAGAGAGAGACTCTTGAAATCGGACAAGTGAGAAAGAAAGAGATTTAACTGAGAAAGTGTGGCTTTCTTCTGTCTGGCAGTGCACTGGGGGTAGGGTGGGTGGGTGGGGTACTTGGGACAGACTGGACGGCGGAGTTGTGCTTATTATTCATGAGTTAAGTCCGGAAAGGGAAACGGTGAATAGTTTGTGCTTGAACATCTACATGCAGGACTAGAACTGGCAGGTTATGTATGTGAATAGGCCGTCCCGAAATACAGGTTGTTTTCTTTGTCATGCGCATTTCTAAATAGATCCCTCATCCCCCCCCCCCCCCCCTTATCCCAAGTGAGACCCAGGCCAGTAGAGTGTGCATTTGGCTGCTGTGTCCACCTCTATCTTGCTTTTCCCCGTTCGATCATCCACCACTCTTCTTTGAGGAATAGCTGGCTGGTGCGACTGCCTCCATTAAAAAAAAAAAACCAACCGATGCATGTGGCTCGAGGCATCTGATGCCACTGGATGAACCGAGGGCTCTGACTGATTTGTGGCAATCACCTGGCCCAGGAACTGGTTATGCTGGTCGCTGACATGGTGCTGCAACGTTTCTTCACCACCATGTTAATGTAGGCCCTCATGATTTTGGTGATCTCCCCGACCTAAAGAGAGAGACGAATGCGGTGGGTTAATAGGTGTCCCGATTAAGTGATAATTTGATGGCAAAATTAAAAGAGGTAATACAGCAAATTGGCATTGCATTTCCATGAAGTTAGTAGATTCACAAGAATATTTAAAAAAAAGAAAATCAAAGCAGCAGAAGCCGAGACCTTAAGGGCCTCAAAGGAGTGGATCAATCAGGCAAATATAAAAAATATAAAATAACAGGTGAATAATGAATAATGACTCACCAGTGGCGTCTCAAAGAACATCTCCCTCTCATCCACGATAACTTTGTAGGTACACGGCTGTGAAGTCCCAAAGAAGGTGATGTGTTCGTACTGGAAGGTCTCCAGTGGCTTCGGTTCACCTCGTTTGTACACGGACACGTTTTCAGCACTCACACTCAGCCACAGGTCATGAGGGAAACCACCTTCTTTACACTACAAAGGCAGAGGAAACATAGGAGAAGAAAAAAGAAGAGGTTACTTGTCAGGTATTTTGTTTTTTTTTGTTTTTTTTACAAATCTCTGTGATCATCATTTCCTCTATTGTCTTCTCACCTCCACATCAAACAGAGTAGATCCATATCCAGGCCACTCCTTGATAATGCTCATGTATTTCAGCATGGCCTGATGCTGAGGCATTCCCTGCAGCCGGGTCCACTTCTCCAGAACACTCGTCCGTGTGGCCGACGTCTCCTCCTTCACCCACATCTCCAGCATCTGCTCCTCCTCCACCTGCAACAACACGGGTCAGAACAAACTATCAAACTATCAATCAGATGGTCAGTCAGTCAGAAAGCAGTTTCTTAGGAGGTCCATCCGCCATTTAGCAAACCAGACGGATTTGACTGAGCTTATGGGAATTCAGCAGAATGCATAAATCCATCACGTCGTGTCACACTTTGCCACCAACTGGAAATGATGCGGATGGTGTAAAATTATGGATGTCCAATTCAGTAAGCTCTCCTGAGTGTTCTTTTACTATGAATTCTTTGAAAGTTGCTTGAGTTGTGTAATCCTTGTGTAGCTTTTTGTAGCAAATGGGCTAAAGCTTTACTTCCACCACTGACCTTCTGCTTCTTCAGGGACCCAGTCTTGAAGCTTCTCCTCAGGGTGCCGTCCAGGAAGCTCGGGGTCCTTCGTTTCTCTGTCCCTACCCCGACAACTCCCTGTAATCCTGCCGTTCCTTTCCCATCTCCTGCTCCTCCTCCAGCTCCTCCGGACCCACCTGCTGCCCCGACGCCCGGCTTGGTGGAGTGGATGATGCGATTGCGGAGACGTCCAATTGGATAAACATTTCCCAGGGTCCACCCGGCCCTCCCTGCCCCGTCGCAGTGGAGATACTGGAGCCGTAAAGCGGCCAGGTGCTGCAAAGTCTCCTCTGAGGCCGGGAAGTGACCGCTTATCAAAGACTCGTGAGCCTGAAAGTAATGAGCAATTAATAACTGGTTCCTTCTTTTCAAGACAGTGTTGTGCAGTTGTGTAAAGCTCACCTGCTCAAACATGAAAGCAAACTCCACTCCTTCTTTTGGCATGCTCTCTACATCCAAGAAGCAGTAGAGCTTGAAGTAGAGTTTCCATTCTCCTTCCTCCTCCTCTTCTTCGCTGCCTGCCAACCTGGAAAAATACGGACACAGGTCAAGTAACCATATTGATTAAAACAATCCACTAGCCCATTGGAAACACTCTAAATATAAAGACTGTATGACACCTGACAGCGATATACACACCTCTCAAACTTGGCCAGAACATCAGCCACAATCACTCTGCTCTCCAAAGCTCGGTCTGTGCAGGCGTTGTGTTGAAACAGAGAAAACAGGTTCTTGCTCTCCTCCATGGCCAAACCTCTGATCAGCTTCTCCACAACCTGCAACATGAAAACACTGACCAGTTTGTAACAGCACACTACAATTCAAGCACCAGCTCTTGTACTGCGTCTTAAAATCAGTGAGAGGAGGATGTGTCAGTTTGTGAGAGTGTATTTTTTTATGTGTACCTCTCCAGCTGTGGTGTGTGAATTGATGGAGATCTTGCAGGAGCCTCCTCCGTGGCAATAGACGGTGGTGCTCATCTCCTGTCTCACCAGCAGGGCGGCGATCTCCTCCTGAGAGGGAACAAACTCTCGAGTCTTGGTCTTCTTCAGGGATTCCCCGACGAAGCTGGTGTAACGCTCGATCTCCGTGCCAGGATAACGCTCTCGTACCCTGAGTGGGATCATATTTATTACACATATTTACTCCATGATGGATTTATCAACAAAAAAAAAAACACATTCCATAAAGCAGACACACACCTCTTGAGGTGAAAGCGGAGGTATCTGAGGATGACTCGACTGGGCAGGAAGGTGCAGCTCATGCAGGTGAGCAGATGCCAGTGTGCCCGATTGGCTGGGCTGTTAGGCTGAGGCACATGATTGGTCTGCTTGATCACCTGACAATATACCTGAAACACAGAAATGGGGAGAGTTGTGAGATTCAATCAATGTTTAATCAACATTTGATGGCAAACAAACATTCTGCCGAAACATCCTTATTATATTATTATATATATTATATTAAGGTTAAATTTGTATAAAGATTACACTACACACCACTGTGTTTCTCCATTAAATAATAAATCTGTACACTTTATTAAGTGCTATTTGCTGTTGAGATTAGAGAAGACAGTAAAAAGAGTACCTCATCCCTGAGAGGGCGCAGGTCCTGGCAGGTCTGCAGGATACCCTGAATGATGGGCACCGTGTCTGCCAGCGACTCCATCTCCTGCAGTGAGTTGAAAACTCGCACAGCCTCATCCTGCAGACTGGCATAGCCCTGCTGCCTTTGAACTGCACACAGACAAAGATAAAAAGGTCAACAAAGACAGAGAAGAAGAATATGTAGCTGTAGCTCATCGATATGACCAGAGATGACAGCAATAAAAAGGACATCAAATGATTAATGTGATGATTTAGCGGTTTAGAGTAATTCAAAAAAATGTATAGGACATATACTAGAACTGATATTCAGCAAATAATTAATGAAAGTCTGCAAATTGTTCTTTATCTTTGTGCTGGCAGGAGCAAAAGATATCTTTTCATTTGCACATACATTTAAATTGAAATGTTTGGTTCTGACCTGCAGAGGGCAGTATCATGTATGGGAGCTTTTAGTGCACACGGAATGGGAAAGGAAGAAGACAAGGAATAAACAAAAGAAGAAAAATTGCTCTTTTCGGGGGGGGGATTTTAGGTTGCTGAGTTTTACTTACGACTGGGGACCTCTCCGTAAGGGAGCGGCAGCAGAGGGGAGTGCAGAGGATGCTGAGTGTATCTGAGGATGGGATTCCTCCTGTACATCTGCTCCACGATGTCTGGGTTCACACTGTTCTCCTGAGAGGACAAGAAGAGGTCAAATTCAATTTAGGAGTCAGTGTGTGTTGCTTGCCTAATAGGTATGTGTGTTCTACCTTGATGTCTCTGATGAGCTGCAGAGTCGGGGTTTCTATGGGGGTCTTGCTGTCTATGACTCCCTGTACGGCAGCTGTCCACCTCATGGCCTCATTCAGCATCTTGGTGTAGAGGCGGTAGGAGTGCTTCCTCCCGTACACAATGATGTTCCAGTAACCTGTAAAATGAGGACTCAGTCAGCAATGTAAAACCGGAATTATCTCTTAAAATGTAGCCTCAAACCTCCTACGTCTAATCCCGGATTAAACCTGCCCTTTCTGTCTTTTCCCTTCCCTTCTCTTTCCCTACCTGTCTCCCTGTGCACCCGCTCATCGGGCTGAATGACGGAGCAGAGCGAGTTAAGGACCAGAGTTCCCATCTTTGAGGAGTTTCGCTCTGAGCTCTTGTAGTAATCCAGGGAGTTGTGGGTCAAAACAAACCAGCGCTTCTTCAGCTTCAGGGAGGTGCTCTTAGCATTCGTCTTCATCTCCTTTTGAAGCCAGCCTGAAAGGTGATGAGTCAGGAAGAGAGAGGGGAGGCAAAGTGGAGGAAAGATGTAAAGAATCTGTACAGGATCAGCAGAATTATGCAATTATTCAACGTCAGCATTTATCCCCAAGGCTATTTATATTGTGACGAAATCTCATATTGAGATATTCTAAACCAAAATCTGTCCCAACATGTGGTCCTAAATAATCCATATTTTGCTGACTTTATTTAAATGGTAAGTGTGCTATATTGTAAAGAGAGTTCCTGTCTCTTCCAACAAACAATTATAATAAGTCCACATTTTATTTTAAAAAGTTTTCACCCCTGACGAGGAACTCCTGGCCGTCTATCCTGGCGTCTCCTTTGGGTTTCTGCAGCAGACTGATCCAGTGATGCATCTCCTCCGGTGTGTCACTGTTGCAGTGGATCACTCGGTTGGCCGTGATGATGACAAAAGAGTTGGGCCTGCAAAGGTCAAATGATGGTTTTTAAATAAAAAGAAACACCTAAATATAAGTCAGGACACTTAAGGGTTGTATTTAAGTGATAGTGATTGCATATTGGGTCTTTTCATACTTTGAGATCGACCAAGGATCGGAAACAATTGTTAGAAAGAGCTTTTTTCTCACTCATTTGGAGGAAATAAAAATCAAAGCTTATCTTCTGATGTCAAATTCAATCAATTTGGAAAACATGAAAAAAGAATGAAATGGTCCTCGACATGCAAAGTGAATCAGCATTTCCTTTTCTTTTGATTGTTGATCCAACTTACCGATCGGGGTTGTCTGAAGCACAAACAGAGTCTATCAGCCCCACGTCAAGAGTTCCCTGAAGAACGATCGGAGGACGAGAACAATTTTAAACGTGAATTATTGGTGCACTATTGCTTCTACAGCGACATGTTAGAAATGATAAAGTGATGTAACTCAACACAAAGAGCTCTTAACTTTAGAGAGACCTTTTTTTTTAACCTTTGTGCCTCACTTTAAAAAAGTTACTCTGGTATCCCTAGTGGACAAAAATATAGCGTAAAGAAACTGCATTTTTTACTTTCAATGAGTTAAATCTTGTAACCAACTTCCGTCCTGATCATCACTACAAATCACCATTCATTTTCAGAACCGTAAACCTTTAAATGCCAGTTTTGTTACATAATGCAACTGTTGTTTTTTTATGAAGGATAAAACACAAAAATGGAACAATTTTCTGGATAATAAATGCTTGGGGAATTTTTTCCCCAGTCTGGGATATTATCAGCAATATTGATTTGCATCAAACACATAATACAGCAGCAAAGCCCCTGGTGGAAACCAGTAAAAACTACAATTTAGAGCCAGGGCTAGATGGCTATAATGGCTGAGGGGTTAAAAGAAAGTGCTTTAATAGGCACATTTAGTTTTTTTTATGGTATACATTTGGCATGGTTGGGATTTTATGTCCTGGTGAGATACAAGGGTTACAATCAGGCGACATTGTTACAGAGGAACAACTTAAACACATAACAGGTTACTGGCATGTTGTTTTTAGAGACTGACCACAGCGTTCTTTGGGTTGGCCTGTTCATGGGACATCTCCATCAGCTGCTCAGGAGTGCACACGCGCACTTTACTGAGCACATTAAACCACCCACTGCACAGAAAGAAAGACGAGTCATCACAAGTTTGAATACATGACTCTACTCAGCAGCCGAAGTAGCCGTTATCTACAAAGTCACTCAAGTCTCCACCACACCTTGCATCCTCTGGTGACTCAGCAAACACCTGATAGGTCCTCTCATCTGTCACAAGGTTCAGAGCGTTCTCCTTTTCATGATTATTCACTATCTCCCTGTAAAAACACAAAAAGGGCACATCTCAAACATGCAGATGTTGTATAGAAAGACAAACGGTGAATTAGGGGTTGTGTGTGTGTGTGTGTGTGTGTGTGTGTTTGGCACTGGAGCATCCTGGTAATCTTACTTGGCAGCTCGGATGTCGATGGTTCCCTTCAGCTTCTCCTCGCTGTCGTTCTCGTAGTACATCAGCTTGTTGTCCCTCAGTACAAACCAGCGCATCTTCCAGTTCCTGAGGTAGAACAGACACAATGAAAACAAAGGCCAAGACAATCCATTCTAGACATTACATAGGTTCATGTGACTCTGTAACTGATGCATGCACGTATTGGACTTCACTTCTATCTAGAATACAAAGTGAATTAGCTTCTTACATGTATAGAAGGGTGGAAGCAACTATACACAAAATCTATGTAAATCTTTATTTTGATGCACTTTAGGATTGTATAGTTAAAGTAATCACATTACTTAATGTTGAAAATAAAATATACATTCATAAAGATAAATTCCAGGACCTGGAAAAAACTAACTTTTATAGAGTTTTAGTGTTTTTTATCCTGAGTCTTGTTTAAATTTTATGCAAACAACCTTGTTTCTGTTATGTGCCATTTAGAGTTTAGTTTGTTTGTCTTTTATTTTTTCTGCATGTCCAGGTCCCACGTTGGATTAAATTTGTCTATTTTGTCTAGATACTCTTCATTTTCTGGTTCTATGAATATGTTTTAGAGTAGGTTGTTTACGATAGAATAAAACCAAACCAAGCATAAAACAACATCCTTTCTTCTAAAAAAATATTTCTCTTTTTTTCTTTTGACTTTTTTGAAGTAGATTAAGTAGAACCAGGACTTGAAAAGTAAAATCTCAGTAAAGTCAAAGTACATCAGCTTGACAGGGACATTGAAGTCTTCCAGCACTGCAGAGGATTCAAAGCATTGGGTTAGACAAACATGTGATCCCAACACCTCAACAGGACACGAGGACTTTTTCAACACAAGACAGATGGTCATTCACATCAAAATTGTACTGGACACCACTTCCAACAGAGATTGTGATTCAAAAAGCATGCAGGCTGCACTCAGTAACAACTACAACAACCTCCGTGAGAGAGTGGAGAGGCCTCCTCCCTTCTTGTAGAGCCAGCCGGACTTGAGAGACTCTTGTTTGGACCGGAACCACATGAAGGTTTCATCCTTCAGCACACACCAACGCCTCCTCCATGGGATCATCAGACCAGCTGAAGGAGCAGAGAATAAAATGACCGTCATTAAAATGCATTTTAAAACTCAAAAGGTGGAGATGCTTTTCACTTGAGAATGAGATTGTTTGAGTTAATAGTTTGGAAACACAGATGCCCACCCTTCATGTAGAGGTAGCCATGGAAATATGGTGGTCCATTTCCATTAAGTAGGGTCACTCTGCCATTAGTCACTTCTTCATCGGTGTCCATCATGCCATCGTGTTCATCGTCACTGTCTGCGTACTGCAACATCATACGATGACATCACTTGTTTATTTTAAATAACTACAAGTGAACAAGAAAAAGTGCATTGCATTATAAGATTTTCTATATACTGAGTACATTTTTTAATTTGCCACTGCATAGCTGCTCATACATATCTGCGTGCACGCGTGTGAGGATGCGTGTGAGTGTGTGTCCTCACAGAGTCGGAGCTGCCTCTGTAGGACTCGACGCTGGCGTTGGTGCAGGTTGACTTCCTCGGGTGCTCTTCGTCTGTCACGGTGGTGCTCCCGCGGTTGCTCCCAGATACGGAGCTGTCGTCTCCGGCGGTGACGGAGCCCTCCTCCTCCTCCTGGTCATAATCTGACTCGGTGTCGGCCGGCATGCTGTAGATGGGCTCCTCCCCGTCCCCCAGGCTTTCCACCATGCTCACCTTCCTCTCCGGGTCTGCTTTAGTTCCATTTTCCTTCTCCCCCTGTCCTGGGGGAGGTGGCGGAGGAGGAGGGACAAGGGAGCCATCTCCAGGTGAAGGGAGAGGAGGAGGGGGAGGATTTCCGTCCGTGGGCAGAGGAGGTGGTGCAGGGGGCACTGTGCCCTCTGCAAAAGCAGGCGGAGGAGGCGGGAGGTGAGCAAATATATCCTGATCGATAGGAGCATCCGTCTCAGCAGGAGGAGGGAAGTCAGGGAGAGGGATGCACTCCTCTTCAGCATGAAAGCCCTCGTCCACCTCTTCCTCTTTAGACGCACCCCTCGTGGCACTTGCAGCTTTTGGAGCTTTGGCCTCCGCAGCAGGCTTGGCTGCGGCTGCTCCCAGCGAAGTGTCCACGCCTCCGAAGTTGGAGAGGTCGATGAGCTCCGTGGCCTTGCGAGACGCCTCCTTCGTCATCCGTTTGAGCTCAGCATCTCGGCGGAGTTGAAGCTCCTGTTTGGAAGACTCACACAGCTGGGACACCTCGTCCTCTCTCTTCTTCTGCAAGCGCTCGATCTCTCGCTCCAACTGCAGGATGTCCTCCATCTGCCGGGCGTCACCCTAGATGGGAGGAGAGAAGAGAAAAGGGCAGATTAAGCACCAACATTTGCTTCAATTAGTAAATCAACGGGAAAAGGATAAGATGCTAAATCTAATGTTTTAGAGTTGAGGGAGAAAACGCACTGAAGAAGAAGCACTGTCCTCTGACGATTTAGCCTTCTCTGCTCCTTCCTTCGCTTCCTCCTGCTCCCCTTCGCCCGCCACCTTCTTCTTCTCCTCCTCGTCTTTCTCCTTCTCTTCTTCCTCCCTCTTCTGCTTCTCCTCTCTGAGTTTTCGAACTCGCGTACGCGCCACCTGACCTCGCCGGTGTTTCTGCAGCACCAGCGTGGCCTTACGTCGCTTCACGAACCGTCGGCGTTGGATGTGCTTCCTGAAGTGCTTCTGAAGGGTGACGACACTGGCGCGTACACACTTGAAGTGCTTCCTGTGGACAGAAAAGGGTAAAACATATTTAACAAGGTGAATAATAACTTGCACGCAACATTGTACAGGAATGCCAACAATTTGAGTTCCTATTAGGAGGGTCTTACTTGGCAGAGAAAGTGAGTAGGTGGGCTCGAATTATCATGGCAGCTTTGCGTCGGACTTCATCTCTGTCTTTCTCTAATCGCTGCTCAAGAGACTCTTTCATAAACACCTGCAGAACAATAGTGAAAGATTAACCATGTATTGTTACAAGTGGTGGTGGTTCAAAACTTCTGTCATAATAGCTTTGTGATGTCTGAAAAGGTGTTGCCAAAAACCACTAAATCCTACCTTGGTCTTGCCTAACTGCCAGTCTTTCTTGGTCTTGTCATATTTGAGGAGAAGGTCTGTGCTTCTCTTCTTATCATCTCCTCCTCCTGCTGCTGCTGATGATGATTTCTCTTTCAGAATGATTTTATACCTGGCAGGCAGAAAATTAAGAGGACACATCGTGAGAGACAAGCGAGATCTCAGCAAAAAAATGGGTACAAATCCAGACACTTTTACCCAACACACACAAGTGAGATAAAAGATGAGATAAAGGTAGATTTAGAGATGCTTACCGAGAGACGAAATCTTTGAAAGTTCTGCGGACGGGGAACCCAGCCCGACGGATCTTCACAGTCTCCAACATCCCAGAATACCTCAGCTGGTTCAGGACAACTTCTGGGTTAAACACACTTGGATTCTACAAGAAAAAACGATACAGATTGTTTAACTTGGAAATTCATTAGGTATCAGCATTAATGTGAATTTGAGAACCGAGACTGAGACTGACCTTCTCCATGTTGGGCTTAATGCAGCGAATGAAGAAAGGGTTGGCTACACTCAGAGAGGCCATGAGAGCATGGAGGGAGTCCTGAGAAGGCAGAGATGGGAACATATTAAAAAAGTGCATTTCTTTCCCATGGCAGTGAACAAAATGACCATAGTAACTCCTTCAATGATCATTACATGTAACAAGTTCTTATGTCTCAGTAGGGCTAAAACTTAACTAATTAAACTATTAGTTGAGTGACTGACAAATAATTATTTGTTATATATCAAAGAGAAATGCAAAAATTCACTGTTTCCAGTTTAAATGCACGGATTTGCTGATTTCTCTGTTTTATATCACTACAAAGGGAATTTCACAAGTTTTGACACTTTGAAGTCGAAGTACTTCATTTTATCTCTCTCACTATTCTTTAGTTACTTTGTTATGAGTTGATCGTATCGTCTCAAACTGCTTGCATCGCTCACCCTGAACTGGGAGCTCACGGTGGGTTTGCGTCTGGCCGTTCCCATCTTTTCCTCATTGTTCCTGCTGCCAACCTTCTCAAACAAGTCGTAGATGAAGTCCAGTCTGAGAGACAACCGAAACATGACGGATTACACACAGACATTATATCAGTGGAAATACTAATGATGATCAAAAAATCGAATCAAATCAAAATATTATTGCTTGCAGGTGAAAATGTTGACATTTTGAATTATAGGTTTTCATCGAACGTCATTGTTATAGAACAAATTTGCATCAAAGATTCATATCAGCTCAAAAAACTCAAAGCATATTTTTCTTTGAATGACATGAACTTATTACTTAAAACAATCTCAGGACTTATAAGAGTTCAAACAAGCTATTCATTGAATATATCTGAATGCCCTGCCTGCTGTCCTTGAGCATGTTTAGGATGTCGTCTCTGAAGGTGTCTCTGTTCTTCTCCAGGATCCCTTTCACGTCATACAGGACCTGCCAAAGACAGACAAGTTCATCGTAGCTCTCACGGACTTCACTATGATTACAAATACAGTATGTCGATATGAAGTGGATCAGTTGTACATCACTCACCTCCCCGGCATAATGTTTAATTCCAAACTGATGATCAGCGAGTCTGGGCTTGACGTAGTAAGGGTTTGTCTGCAGAAAACAGGAAAACAGCACAACAAAATCAAATATAGTGTGACGTTTAATACCAGCAGCAGCTCAACGATACTTTTTTTTTAAACTAAAGACCCACAGAGTGTCTGCTGTGCAACTTCTCCAGCAGAGTGAAGTCTGTTCCTTTGGGAAATCGACTTTCTTCATTCACAAGTGCCAACAGTCCCAGTTTCTAAGAGAGAGAGGGTAAAAAACATCCACTTAATGCATCAGCACCACTTTCTCAGACATTAGTCCAATATGATTAGATCAGTTTCCAAAGTCTGAGGCGTCAAGCACAGCCTTTATTCTAACCGACTTCCACCAAACTCTGATTGAGGGAACGCTGTTAAGTTGGTGCTACAAAGATTTTGAAACATTTGATGGCATTATTACGGCTCTCAACACTGTTCACGTTACGAGTGATGACGTATCAATTTCCTACCTTCTCTATAAGGTCGAGACACTCTGCATTGTCCATCCAGTCTATTGCGTCCCACTGGACACCTTCCCTGTGGAGAGTTAACCCAAAACAGTTAGTGTACACATAGAAAACTAGTGTACAGTATTTCATTGAACAAAGAAAAAATATAAAGGAAAAAAAGATTGCATGGTTATGGATGTACCAGCTAACTAATTCTAGTTTTTTACATTTAAACTCTTCTTGTAATGTCATTTGTAACTCTGTTTAGAAACAGATAAAGTTCATTATTAAAATCATTATTATTATTATTATTTTTGTTATGATTGTTGTTACAACCACCTTGAGATTGTCCTTAATTTACTATTCATAGGAGCAGACATAATGATTTGCATATTTGGACAATGGTTATAGTTTTAATTATTAATTCTGTTCATGTGGTGACATACATTTATATTTGTATTGTATCTAGATTGATGTTCGGACCTAATGTTTGTATTTGATCCCTTAAAGTTGTGTGTTTTTATTTTTCATGTTGTTATATTGAAGTTAATAACTAATTAAATCCCTGACAAACCAACTAACTGGTGATATGTAAGTATTTGCCTATGCAGGTTTGTAGATAGTTATACTGTATATGTAGAAGTTCACCTGTTGTACTCTAGCTGCTCCAGGGAGAAGATATGCTTGTTGAAGTACTCCTGCAGTTTCTCGTTGGCATAGTTGATGTTAAACTGCTCAAACCGATTCACCTGGAAGCAAAGACACATATCTCATATACAAACATCTGCATGTGTGGATGAGAACGAGTGATACTTAGAGAACAGCTTCTCGCTTAATACTTCAAAGTTCTGACCTCAAAGTTCTCAAAGCCAAAGATGTCAAGGATGCCGATGGATTTAAAGTTTTCCTTCCCTTTGATCTTCTGATTGATCTTGAGGATGATCCAGGAGAAACACTGGGAATATAATGCCATGGCTACAGAGTCCCGGGAATCCACGGCCTGTAGGGATGAAAGAGCATGAGTGTGGCGGGAAGAGCCAGAGATCAATCACGAGGGGGAGAATAACTGTTTGCATATATGTGTATGCTGACCTGCTCTATAGTGAGTGGCGAGCAGATCTCCTCTCCTCTGAGGATTATGGAGCGCTGAGTCAGGACTTCAGACAGCTGGAAGGCATCCAGGCCTAGCAGCTCACTGGCATTAGTGACCACTGAAAGACGGACAAAGACACGTGTCACCACTGCAACACATCTTTCCAAGTTTTCCCTTTCCTAACTCAAGCCGTGCACTGACCTTGCTTGGTGGTGATCTGGGCTCCTCCTGCAGTCATGAACTCGACGTTTCCCAGCTGTAAGACTCCTGACAGCAGCTTAAACATGTCTCTGATCTCCTCCTCTGTGAACTCCAGCACCTTCAGCGCCTCCTACACGCAGGAAAAAGAGATTAGGTGCTACCAACAGAAGAGGTGCTTTTAACACTTTTTATCTCAGTGACTGCGAAGATGAAAAAATGAATATAGCATGGTCGCAGATTCTGTATAAATGCACTGACTTAGAGAGGTTTGATGAATGGTGGTTCTAATTTCAGCTGTACAGACATTGCTACACTCAAGACATAAATAATTTTGACATCAAGATGCAATGCACGGACTTCCTGTTTGTGTTACAAGATAAAACTCCAAAGAAGACACTTTAACGTCTAAGACGGGGTTCAGACTTCGGACATTCTAGGGACATCATGTCTATCAGTTGTATTTTATGTTGTGCCATTTGCAAGCTGCAAACATCCCCTTAGTGTTTGGAATTAGGTATCTATATATCTTCAGATCACGATTACATTTTTTGTCCTTTAGTGTATTTAATTTAACTGGTTTCTGTTTCATGACCTGCTGACAGTTTAATCAAAGGAAAAATAACCTGGCATGCGTAAAAATGTTGTAATGTTGGAAGGTCATTGTCTAACTGGTTAACTAACGTGCTTAGACAGCTATTGTCTAGTGTGGCTAGTAAGTCAGCTCGGATTACAAAGATAACTTATAGTTATATGGATAGTTTTTAGTTTGATCATTTCTGCCTCCAGAGCAGCTTTTGTCCCAGGGAAAATGTTTGTAAAACTTAAATCTACTTGACAAAGAAAGGACTATGTCCCACTGACCATAACACTGTTATACAGTTCTTTGTCATTCAGGCTCTTGTCCTTCAGACATCCTGATTGGCTGAGGTAGTGGAAAGATTCGGGAGGGTCCTCCAGGAAGTAGAGGCCTGATGGAGAAAATACAATAAAATGTCAGCAGGGTGATATTGGGAGAGATGCACATTGAGATACCTAACTGCACGTCTTACACTACATAGATGTAGTCTGGAGAAGTTGCTGTGAACTTACACAAACATGCTTTAACTGATTAAAACAGGATCTGCTGCTAAAGATCTTTTTGTATCGCCAGTTTGTATGGTGAATACTGTTTCACATCGAAGACACTGTTGATATTTGAACATCCGTATTCTTTTCCTTACTTTTATGGTCTTTGTTAGCTCCTGCCAGCAGAGCGTAGAAGATGTGGTAGTTTCGTTCTCCAGGGTTTTGTCGCACCACTCGGTTCTACGGCAAAAATCAATGCAGCAAAGCTACTATCAACATTTCATTATGATTCACAATGCAACACTGACAAATCACTCCCAATGAGTTTAAACTTGATATGAGCCGGCTGCAGACGTGGTTACCTTTTCCAGTAAATCTGAAAGGTAAAGAGTCAAGGAAGCAACAATAAAACTGAGTTCTTCGCAAACATACTCCTTTAGCACATCTTGTTATTCAACAATAATAGAACAGAAATGCTGGTATATTTGATACAAATATACATATTTCGTACATAAATATGAGGATACAGTCAATCACGCAGCCTCCCTGGATGTTGCCGCCCTCAGAGAAGTGAAGTTGGATGAATTTCCCAAAGCGACTGGAGTTGTTGTTGTAAATAGTCTTAGCATTACCAAATGCTTCCATGATCGGACTGCACAGAGAGTAAAAACCTGCAGTTAGTGCCTTTTGTTTAGTGTGCATTTAACCGTGCACGCAGTATAGAATATAGTTCACCCACCATGTGCTGCAGAGGCCATTCATTACATGTTTCTCCAAAAGCAACATTATTCTACTCACTTTCACTTGTCTATACATCTTTTGAATTACTTTAGACTTGATGGGGGCTTCAATACTTTGAAACAGCTCTGACAGTAATTGTAAAGTAAGAGGAAAGTGTCTCTTCTTCATTTTGCACATCTGTACCTGCTCTGTACAATGGCCTGCTCCACTCGTGTACTTTTCTCCGATGGAGGAGTCCCGGCTGACTTCTGGCTCATCACCGACAGGAACTGAAGCAACAGTTTGGTGCTCTCCGTTTTTCCTGCCCCTGATTCACCACTGGAGTATACACACACACACACACACACACACACACACACACACACACACACACACATGCACACACACACACACACACACACACACACACAATTTAATTAAATACATTGTGACCTTCTCTGACATTCCCATATCTCAACTGGTCTGGTTGTTTAATTGATATAAAGGTTTGATAGCTTCAGTAATACTGCATTAACTCCTAGTCTATCTCAATCAGGATATCAAGATCGACAAAGTCTGAGTGTAATTGAAAGCATGATGAGATGTGTGACCCTACTACCAGATTAGCCAAGCAGGCCAGGAGTCGTTAACCAACTTTACCCAGTGGCATTTTTTTGTTATTAGGATCAGTAGAGCGATGCCAGTTACTGATTCTCACCACCAAGGCAGATTCAATCTCTATTGCATCTTCAAGCCTTTTCCTCATCTAAATTTATAAGACTTGTTATTTAAGATTGTCTCAGCTCAGCTCAGCCTCTCTCCCCAAACATCCACTGAAATCAATGTCTGAAACTTGGAAATGCAAGTCTACTTCCTTTAGTCTTTACCTTCATTTTCATTTTCATTTTCTACCTGTCTCTGCTCCAACTCCAATAAATCCACTAATCAACACATTATTATCTTGTTTGTTTAAAACATACAAAATCTGAAGTGTAAAATGTAGCTTTATGCTAAGCTATTTATGCATCAAGCAAATAAGGCAGACATCCAAAGACATACAAAAATGCATGCACAACTCTGGGTAAGTAGGACAGGAATTGTTTGATTTTCTAAAAACGGAACTGCCCTCTGGCCTAATGCATGTTTGGACAGGCTGCAGTCCCCTGTGACACAGGATTTAATAAATGACTGGACTGATGGCTTGGGAGATAGACTGACAGATGGACAAAGTATGAATTAGAGGTAAACCAGACTGTTTAATCATCAAAATACCCGCCTCCATGCTTGAAAATGTACCTGATGAGGACACATTGACTGTCGTGGCGTTTCCAGATGCAGCGGTAGCATTCATTGGCCACAGCAAAAATGTGCGGAGGGAGCTCCCCTATATGGTGCTTGGAGTACAAGTCCACCCTCTCTGGGTCGTACAGACCTGAGATCTGCTTGTAGGGGTTGACGGCTGCCAGGATGCTGCCGATATTAGTCTGAAAAGAGTAAAGAAGCAACAATTTAGGTTCCGTCTCTGCGTCATTTTTGTTTATTTGTATCTTTCCTACACTTACAGTAACAGTACTAAGACATACGCAAACAACACGCTCTCAGAACACCCACAGTACAACTATGTGGAACTTTAAAGCAGCCTTGTGTTGATATTAATCTGGACTGGAGGATAAGAGAACACAGCAGGGTGGCGATCTGATAGTGGGAGTGACGAGTGACAAATCACCAGATTTGTATTAGAAAGCTGAGGTCAAATCAGTGATATGATAAGAGGAGGGAGGCTGGATTCCCATGTTGAGCTGTTTGTGCTGTAACAGTCACCTTGCTTTTTATCCCTCTGCACTAGAAACTAAAAAAAACTTGAAGTCAGCATGCCTTCCATCGTGTCATGTTACCCTGTCTGAGCATTTTGTGTACTACACTCATATAAAACTGTGCTGAAGGACACATATGCACATAAATGCATGAGCACACAGTGACACAGAAAGATGACCCACCCACACACAGTCAATTCTTATGATCAGCTTAAGGGAAATCCATGTGTGGACAATATTTCATCATCTAGATTAGGACACACTAGGGGAGGATGTTATTGGTCTGTTGTCTGGTAATCTTTCCGGTTTTCAGGCCTTCCAGATGTCTGACTTTCAACTCACCGTGAACGTGGTCAAAATTTACTCATTTAAATTTATCTCAGTCTCAATTTTGTGACCACAAAAATAAATGATCGTGTTTTCATGTCATCAATGGTCATGGGTGAGATAAACTCCCCAAGGCAAGGTGAGTAATGGAGTTTTATGGGCATGAGCTAATGCTTCTATTCATTACAGACACAAACAGAAGCAAATTATCACAGCAATTCATTTCTGTTGTAATGATTGAGTCGGTTGTTGGATCCGAGAAAGACAACAGAGCATTTATACTACACTGTATTAGATTTACAGTGTTAATGTACAAAACCAACAAGAATTATGCATGTGTTGGTTAATTTGTTAAGTGTGTTGCATTGAAAGTGTCATGATTTGTCATCACAGGTGTCGCCAATTCAACCAGGATTAAAATAAGAATTACAACTTTAAAGACGTGTAGTTTAGTTTGTTTGTTCTTTTAACTCTCACTTCATAAGCTTCCCTCTTTTCCTATTTCACTCAGAGTAGATGTGTCTGATAAGATGATTTGTGTTTCCCTACTAAACGCGTCATGCATGTAAAGATTACTGGAGTACACCAAGACACAAACTTCATGTACACAGTACACACACTTGGCCACATACATACACCCTCTCACTCATACTTACAAACACATGCGTCTGTCAGAATGCACTTACATAGATGTTATCCTTCTGGTAGCGCTGGTACAGGTTGTGCATGATGGCGGCCTCGTGCAGCTCAGCCAGTGCTGACATGTCTTCCACCCCATCGATGCTGGACTGGTGCATAGCGTACACCCGCTGCCTGGTGAGCTCCGCCTGCTGCAGGTACAACACCTGGAAGACAACAAGATGTACAGACTGTCACTTATCATCTCTAAATTTGTTGAATTACGCAAGTTATATTAGGTACCCACTTTTACTTTTACCTCATACACGCAAACTTTACAAAACGAGTGAAGAAGATCTACATGGATCTGGCAACGGCAGGCAACCAATATCCACAAGAGACCCCAATTTCCCAAAAGAATCAAGGCACACTAGCATTTGACCGTGCAGCAGTCGTCATATCTTTTTACATTGTTTAAATTGTCTCGTTAGATTAGTTCATTCTTGAGCTTGACTGATTGTAAAACCACTGAACCAGGTTGGTGACAGACACTCAGTTATGGCTGGTGTTCTGTGTGTCAAGACCACTTCCTGTCATTACTAATTTTTTTTGTAAAGATTTAAACAACTAAGATATAATGTGTTCATTAGTGAGGTGCTGGTAGGCGACTCCTCTGGTTGCAAAATAAGTTTGATTGTGAAGAAGTCTACGAGTCTCACTTGATTTATTACCTCACTAAACATTGTGAACATGAGTTTATGGTCTCAATCACTAGTTTCTAGTCTTCTTCAATACAGCATGATGTCCATTTAGTAAATTATGGTCCTGTTTAGATTAAAATAGCCGATAAAGGAGGGTATGCTTTAGGGTGTGGCTACCGTGTGATTGACAGGTCGCTACCGCTACCAGAGCTGTATAACGCGTCCCTACGTCACTCCTCCGCAGTCCAAATATGGTCACTGACGTTCACTGGTTGCAAAAACTAAGTTGACCACGGCCAAAATCCAAGATGGCGAGGGCCAAAATGCCAAACTTGAGCCTTCAAAACCAAAGTCCACAAAGCAACGGGTGACACCATGACGAGTACCTCCACTTCTATGGTCTATGGTATTAAAGTGAGTTTTCCCTTTAATGTCACATGCTGAAACTGAGTGACGTGCTGTGCTGTATTAAGATTGACTGCATTGCATTTAGTATTATGCTGCTGTTGCTTGGCATTGTGTGTGGTCAAGGTCAATTGAAGAAAAGAAAAATATGTCACAATACCTCTTCTGAGGTCAATGAAATAGTTGAGTTGCAGCGATAATGAATGTGTCTTGATCAGAGTGAGGAGGAACAAAGATCAAAAGAGAAAAAGATGATTCCATTTTCAGCTAATTGTGATGCAACATGACGAAAATGCACATGATGAGAATACAGAGCTTCGTGGCTCTTCTTCTCACCAGACCCCAATCTCATTTATGTCATCCATCGCCATGGCAACTGGAGAGCAGGGGACAAGACGGGTGGGGAACCCGTCTTTGGGAGGGGAAGAAGAAGAAGAAGAAGAAGAAGAAGAAGAAGAAGAGAGAGTAACAGATCTGACCTGGCAGGGCATGACAGGTGAATTGCAGCTCGGCGTGTATTCATGTCAGGCACACACACACACACACACACACACACACATACACATGCACACACATACACATGCACACACATACACACGGATAATCAAAGTAATTCTATTTCAGCATAAAGGTCGTTCATTCATTTCAGCAAAATCAACTTGTCTAAGAATAGAAACCACGGCCTTTACAGAACTGGGTTGTTAATGTCAGCTCAGTCTCACAGCCAGCCTCCACCCTGTTGTGTGTTTGTATGTGTGTGTGTGTGTGTGTGTGCGTGTGTGTTTATGTGTGTTGCTGTAACAGATGTGTTGGGAGTCGGTTGAGTGTGGCAGAGGGGCGTGCTGTAGGCGTTCAGACATCTTGTTCTTAAATAAATCTATTTCACTCCAGTAACTGTGTCTTCCACGGCACAGAGCTGTTGCGTGCAGACTGCTCTCTCAGGGCCGCAGCATCGTTTGCACGTAAAATGTTGTTTGCATCCAACACTTTTTTGCACTCCTAATCTTCTCTCTCTTTTAGAAGTATGTCTTGTTGCTGTTGATAAAAGTCCAACCCATAAAGTCACTAACCTTTCCCCACTCACTCAGCTGTGATGAAATGACCCAATTACCCCTCGTCCTCCATTACAGAGACCATAACTCATGTAGCTGTCTATCTTCACTATGACCCCGTCCACTTGTGTCTTCACCTTTTTAAAAGCGTGGTACTCAACAAAGGCACTGACATGTTGCTACTCAAGAACAATTACTTATATTCATGAGTGTTTCAGGCGGGGGATCAATATCAGTGGCCATTACTTGTAGCAAATGTGCTAAAACTAGGCTGCATCTTTTTCTTGATTTAGGTTTAATTTAAGCTATTATTTGTAATAATTCAATTTCACGCAAAGTTTATAATTCAAAATGTATTGTTAACTAAGTTTGCTCAAAAGTTGATGATTTGTCAATCGCGTTTCAGCTTGTTTCTGTTAACCCAGGTTTAATTCATATATTTTTCTGCTACTCTCAACCTTGTAGGCTGAGTTGATTTCACTTTTACGTCTGTGTATGTGTGTAAACGTGTGTTTGGACTTTTCAAAGTGTGTGATGCGCACGAGAGAAACGCTTGTCTGAGTGATGAGATGCATTTACATGCCTGTTAGTCATGCTTTCTGACAGCTGTACAGAGACGCTTTCATACTGACTGTATTACATCCAGACCAGGGTTCATTTCTGTATCTGTGAGAACAAAAGGACTCCCTCAAATTATATCTAAGTCTATTAGTTACATATAAGGCTTTTCTCATTATTTTCTCACCCTATTAAATCTCTCTCTGCCTCTCTCGCTCTCTGCATGCCTTTATGTCTCAGACATCTCTTCCCTGTCTCTCTCACCCTGCTTTCCCTTTGTACGTCACTCCTCTTTCATCCCTTCCCCCTCTTTGTCATTTCTCTCTCTGTTCTCTCAATCTCGTCCAGCCTCACATCATCCCACCCTTCATTCATTTACCCCTCTCTCTTCTGCCTGCCCCACGCTGCATCTTCCACATTTCAACCTCCCACGACTTCCTTTTTCTTCCTCCAGCTCTCCTCTTGAACTCTTCAATGCCAGTTCCTGAAACCTCCATCCTTATTTCTGATGGGCTCCTTCAGCTTGTTTTCGTTTTTCTCTCTGATCTGCCTATCTAATGCACATGGACGCGTGTGTGTAGACCCCTGCTGGTAATTGTAAGGCTTATGGAGAGCCATGTCAATCAGAAAGTCAGGCATGCCTTTGCGATCCAGGGTAAATTATGTGTTGAATGGAGGAAGGACACTAGGACATCTGAAATGGAGGCCTGGGTCTTGGTTGTCAAAATTCATCTCCACTTGTCTCATTTCTTCCCATTTAATGTAAAACTCATAATGCTCGGTGCCAAAGGACAATCAATATCAAGGTTATTTTCTCTCAGTTAAGAAAGCTCCTTCCAGAGTCACAAAAGACATCAAACAACGGTTTTCACAGGCTGAGTAGAACTCCTCATGACGAGTAAACTCAATTTGATGTGTAAAATCTGTTTAGTGCCTTTAAAGAAGGATCTACCTCCAGTGGTGAGCTCTTTGTAAAAAAAGAAAACCTGGACAATAAATCATAAGATTAAAGCAAATAAATGCATTGGCAGCAGTTCTGGGTTTTAGAATTGCTTCTAAGGCCAAAGCTGCTTTCAAATACAAAGGCCTTTAACGGCAGATAAAGCAGACGTGCTGCACGAAAATCATTTGGGACAACCCAGATGCAGATGATTCAGAGAGAGGAGGGATGCTACGAAGTGAGAAAGTATGTCAGTGACTGAAATGAAACGCAGCTGAAGTGGAAGAAGAAGAAAAAAGGTTTTCGCTAACGTCTCCATCTTCGTCTTGCAATGCCCTCTGGTGGGTTTTAACACACATTCTGTGCTTCTTGGTCTACATTAACACACATGCACAGACCAACTATACTGTATGTGAAGACACACATGCACACAATAAGTTTGACCACCCAGAGAGTCTAAAATGGGATACCTCATAGTCAATAATTCATTATTGTAGAGAGGAAAGACATGGAATTAGTGAGAGAAAAGCATTAAGAGAGACAGACTGAAAGGGAGAGAGAGAGAGAGAGAGAGAGACAGAATGAGAGTAATGCAGAAGTAGAGCATGGTAAACCAACTCTGATTTGTCTTCAGTGAAAAATTGTCCTCGTAAACTGCAGTTGTTGGGGACAATTTTCAGCTGTGGATCAATACACATTTGGTACACTAGCGAGTAGTTACAGCAGGAGACAGCATGTATAGGATTAACTTAAAATAAACAATGTTCATGGTCATCGTAACGGTGGTCTTGGGATGTATGTTATTGGTCCATACTGAAATAAACAATTGGATGAACTGGCATGACATTTTGGAAAGATTCATAGTCCCCAGAGAATGAATCCTACTGACTTTGATGATCCCTTGACTTTTCCTCTGGCGCCACCAAGAAATTAACATTTGTGGTTTAGAGTGAAATGTTTTCATCCTGATGAAGTGTAATAGATTTTGAGATCCCTTAACTTTTCATCTATCGCCATCTTCTGGTCAAATTTTCAAATCGGCTACTTTTGCGTGACTAAAGACATTATAATAATTCGTAATTAGTAAATGTAAGCATGCTAATGCTCTAAAATGGTGAATAGGGCAAACATACTGATAGAATTATTTTGAATTCTTTTTTTTCTCATTTTCGCAATAATATCGTTATCAGGTAATCTTTGGCCACAATCATCATTTTTTGAAAATCTGATATCTTGATAGCCCTAATTTCCCTGTCAACATTTTCTGTTGCTTCTCTCGTGCATGAAAATGAGTGCATTCTTAACCTGCTTTGCTCGTGTGACTATACTTTCGTCCACAGTGCATAGAGTTGCCTTCCTGTAAAGCCCTCTGATGTCTGAAACTGCTTTGCATGATTTAGGAGGAGAGCCAGGGGAGACAAGCCTCTTCATCTGACTTCACATATTAGCAGCAGCCAAAGTGAGGAGAAGAAGGGGCCAGAGAGATAAAGATAGAGCATGGAGAGAGAGAGAGAGAGAGAGAGAGAGAGAGAGAGAG